AAAAAAAAAAAAAAAAAGGATTTTTACAGAGGAAGCTACCTGCCCCGATTTGAAGAATGGTATTGTCAAGATACTAGTATTTTCTATGCAACTTCAATGATCTCGCCCTCTTGTTTGCCTGCGTGCGTCTCCTCTAAGATCTGCAGCAAGCATAAAAAGTTTTGATATTCAGAAGGGAGCGAAAGCCTTGAGGGATTAGCCCTTTCTATCATGAAAATTCTTCGAGCTGTTTTTCAGTGTCATATTGCTCTATATTGTGTCTCTACATCCGGCTTGAGGGTCATACATATTCAATTTTCGGCTTCGCTTAGAACTTCTCGGATGCGGCATGCATGAAGCCGAGAGCACTGACGCTGGTTCTCAACATGCACAACAGAGACAGTCAGCAGTGTCCCAATTCTTTTTTCATTGATTATTGGGCATGTTATTTAATAGGACCAGTAAATTTGATACAGTGTTGGGAATATCGTGATAGTGTGCTATTCAGGGCTCGCTTGTAGTTTTCGGTATCAATATTTGCTGCTGCTCGGGTGTGTCTCACCCGCCTAACTTGCCTCGCGACGCGGGAGAAGACGTGTAAAAACTGCAGACATTTTGCAATATAGGACCGAGGATGTACATATGATAACTGCTGAAAGTTGATGTGTATCTAGTTAACCAAATTTCGCCTGGAAACCGGCGGAATTGCATGTGGTCTTTAACAGCAGAAGAATACTTCAGCAGTTGCATGACAAAGAGCGGCTTTTGAAGAATGGCGCCAAAAAAGTAAAGCTTTCGCCTGCAAGTAGACATGGACTTCGTGGTACTATTCAGACAATGATTTAACCTTCCTGATTCTCATCATGTTTTTATAATGGTATCATTTTGTCATTCTTGGATTTCTCGCAGACATTATCATGAGTATAAATAGTACTTAAAATGGGCACATTGAATAGAATTGAAGCCCAAGATGGTGCAATATCAATTATTTGCGGATCTCCTAATTGGTTTTGCTCGTGAAGTTGCGCATTCGCCTCAACACGAACGTGAGACGTTGAGGTACGGATGTCTTCCGATATCCGATGAGAATCGAGTAAAGCCTTCAGGAACACCTTTGAGCCTACTCATCGGGAAATGTTACAGAAGAAAAGACTCTCCTCTGGGCTCACGGCCACACAGAAAGTTTTCGTCAGATCCAGAAATGGTGCATGTACAAAAATTGTTCGGGAACACTATCTTCGTACAGATATTCCCTGCTATTCAAGGCTCTGCAATATATGCATCACCAATGTGAAGCCAGATGCGCAAGGAAATCTTCCTGAATTTATTTTGCTGGATCTGCCTCATGAGCTCAAATCTGGCGGTAAACATTATGTTGCTCTTGATACAAACGTCATCTTGCATGCCATTGACTTGTTGGAGCATGTCGATTGCTTCTATGATGTGATTGTCCCACAGGTTGTGCTTGAAGAAGTGAAAAACAGATCGTTTCCTATTTACCAAAGAGTCCGTTCGCTTGTGAAGGCTGCAGACAAGCGGTTCGTAATATTTCACAACGAGTTCCACGAAGACACTTACGTACAGAGAAAGAAGGATGAGTCCATCAACGACAGGAATGACCGGGCAATCCGTAAATGCGCTTCCTGGTTTAGAAATCACTTGAATGAAAACAACTCCAAAATTCCAATAAATGTCATCTTGGTGTGTAATGACAAGGATAACAGAGACAAGGCCCGTAAGGATGGTACAGACGCTAGAACTCTTGTGGAGTACGTGGAAGGATTGACCAACGGAGATCAGCTCAAGGACTTGATACCTAATGAACATGAGTCCTTTGACAAGAACAAGGCCGAGATCTCCTTTCCAGAATACTACACCAGCTCTAGAACCATGGCTGGAATTAAGAATGGTACTTTGTACCAGGGTATGTTGAACATTTCTACATACAACTTTTTGGAGGGCACAGTTCTGACGCCTGCTTTCAAAAAACCGCTTTTGATCGTGGGAACAAAAAATTTGAACAGAGCGTTTAATAGCGATTCTGTCATTGTTGAGTTGCTTCCACGAGAAAAGTGGAGAGAGCCTTCCTCGACCATTATTGAAGAAGGAGCCATTGGCGCAAATGATAATGCTGATGAAGAGTACCAAGAGAATATCATTTCGGACAAAGAACGTCGTATGTTGGCTGCTGAAGCAATAAAGGCAAATTCTGCCTCCGAGGAGAAGCGCTTGCAACCCACTGCACGTGTGGTGAGTATTGTAAGAAGATCTTGGAGGTACTATGTTGGCCAGGTTGCACCATCGTCAGTTTCTGTCGAAGAGGATACAGGAAACTCCTCCAAAACTTGTTTCGTCATCTTGATGGACAAAGTGTTGCCGAAGATCAGAATCAAAACAAGAAAAGCCAAGGACCTTTTAGGGCAAAGAATTGTCGTGACCGTTGATTCATGGCCTTCAAACTCAAAATATCCACAAGGCCACTTTGTTCGTAGTCTTGGTCCAATTGAGGGAATAGAGGCTGAGAGAGAAGCATTACTTTTGGAGCATGATGTCGAATATAGACCATTTTCCAAGGCTGTATTAGACTGCTTGCCAAAGGAGGGAGAAAACTGGGCGGTTCCTGAGAATTTGGACAATGGAGACGAGCAATTGAAAAAGAGAGTCGACTTGCGCGATAAGCTTGTTTGTTCAATCGATCCAGTCGGCGCGCAAGATATTGACGATGCCTTACACGCCAAACAATTGCCAAATGGGCATTTTGAGGTTGGTGTTCATATCGCCGATGTCACGCATTTTGTGAAGGCGAACACGGCATTAGACCACGAGGGTGCATCCAGAGGCACATCAGTGTATTTGGTTGACAAGAGAATTGATATGTTACCAATGCTCTTGGGTACCAACTTGTGTTCGTTGAAACCGTACGTTGACAGATTTGCATTCTCTGTTATCTGGGAGCTCGACGAAAATGCTGATATTGTCAATGTTAATTACATGAAATCCATCATCAAGTCCAGGGAAGCATTTTCTTACGAACAAGCTCAATTGCGAGTTGATGATCCTACTCAAAACGACGACTTGACCAAGTCTATCAGAATCTTGTTACAACTTTCCAAAAGATTGAAACAGAAAAGATTGGATGCAGGTGCATTGAATCTTTCTTCCCCAGAGGTCAAGGTGCATATGGACAGTGAAACATCAGATCCAGGCGAGGTTGAGATTAAGAAGTTGTTGGAAACCAACTCCCTTGTCGAAGAGTTCATGTTGCTTGCCAACATTTCTGTCGCCAGAAAAATATATGATGCATACCCTCAAACTGCGATGTTGAGAAGACATGCGGCTCCCCCAGCAACCAATTTCGAAGCTCTCAACGAAATTTTGCGTGTGAGAAAACCTGGAATGTCGATCTCGTTGGAGTCTTCGCGAGCTCTCGCTGACTCGCTAGACCGCTGCGTCGATCCCGAAGACCCATATTTTAATACTCTCATCAGAATCATGTCAACCAGGTGTATGATGGCAGCCGAATATTTTTCGTCCGGTGCATATGGCTATCCTGATTTCAGGCATTATGGATTAGCTGTGGATATTTACACTCATTTCACATCTCCGATCAGAAGATACTGTGACGTTGTTGCACACAGGCAGCTTGCGGGGGCTATTGGCTACGAGAACTTAGACTTAAGTCACCGAGACAAGGCAAAGATGGAGATGATAACCAAGAACATCAACAGAAGACATAGAAATGCGCAATTTGCCGGAAGATCCAGTATTGAATACTACGTTGGGCAAGTCATGAGAAACAACGAGTCCTCACAAGAGGGCTACGTCATCAAGTGTTTCAATAACGGTATCGTTGTTCTTGTGCCGAAGTTTGGTGTTGAAGGTTTGATCAAGCTTGAGATGTTAGGCGATGTGAACTCTGCAGAATTCGACGAGGAGAAGTACCAGTTAAGATTTGTTGACAAAAAGGGTAACAAGAGAGTGGTGGGTGTGTTTGACAAGCTCCAGGTGGAGGTGAAATCGATCAAGGATGAAGTCAGCGGAAAGAGAAAAGCTCAATTACTTCTTGCCTAGTTGAGCATGCCTGGGGATATAGTTATACAGAATTCTCGTGCGGCTCACCTGTCTGGGTTCAGTGTAGTGCATTCTATATACGTGGCACACATTATTAAGGTTTATGTCAGCGCTTCTTGTAGCTTCAAGGAAGAAAGTTCACAATTTGATCAATGGTCACGAGTTTGATGCCAAACTTCTCGGCAAACTTCTCGCAGTCATCTAATCTCATCATCAAACCGTCTTCGTCTCTCACCAACTCACAGATGACGGCAGCTGGGGCTAGACCAGCCAATTCACACAACTGCACACTGGCCTCGGTATGACCTCTTCTAGATTTAAGAAGTCCTGGGACTGCTCTCAAAGGCAAAATGTGACCTGGTCTGATAAAGTCGTCAGGTTTACTCGTCGAAGCAGCCAACAGCCTTGCCGTCAATGCTCGGTCGTGTGCAGAAATACCCGTAGTGGTGCCATTTGCAAAATCACATGTCACAGTATAGGCTGTGCCGTGTCTGTCAGTTCTGTCCTTCAACATGGGCTGCAAATCGAGCTCGTTGGCTCTTTCCGTGGAGAGAGGACAACATACATACCCAGAAGAATGGCGCACAAGAAAAGCCATTTGCTCCTGGGTAATTTTCTCGGCGGCTATAATCAAGTCACCTTCATTCTCACGTGATTCGTCGTCCATGACCACGAGAAACTCGCCGTTCTTGAATGCTTCTATGGCGTCTGGCACTGTGCTGAACTTACTCATGGTTGGTGGGCGAGACTAATATGAGGGTCAAGGAGGTAAAGATTGGCGACAGGGCTAAAGTTTTGTCTGTAGTTTTATACTTGCAGCTTCGAATACTAGGTGTTATTCTGGAGGTCTGTGGGAATGAAAATGCTTGGGGTTGAAAAAGACGTCATATACTTGGACTCCGAGAGGTTCTGGTGTTTAGTAATCGCACGATACCTGCGGCCCATGACGCTACGGCCCTCGAACATATGTAATATGAGAAATATTTCTCGACAACTGTATATAAACATCAGAACTTAGGGAGAGGAATTTTCCAAACATTAGTATCATCACAAGTGAGCTTTGTAGTGTCGAAACCCTTGAAGAGCTCAAAGAATTTGGAATTTTTCTTCTGAAGAGGGTAAATGAATGTCAAATACATCGCACGCTCTGTAACATATCACTTTGCCACACCGAAGGCGAGAAAAGTCTAGATGAGTGCGACCCAGCGATTCTGAGTAACAATGAGTAAAAAACGTTCACCATGAGTAAGCGTGCATCAAAACGAGCTCCAGATCTTTAAATCGCATGCCTAAACTCGTCTTTCGCGACGAGTTTTATTTTCGAGAATTCTCTTGCCAAATGTGATTCGTCCCCCTCGTATTTCCATAATCCCACGAACCATATGACCTTCTAAATATTGTGTTGCTTAGGATTGAGCCAAGTACTCGTCGCGCAGGCCGCGCAAAGATCTCGCGCGGTACGGTCTTTAATTAACAAACAGAAAGCTTTATTTCATCGAACAACAAGACAGTCCCTGGTATGAATGCTAATGATAAGTTGCAAGCGCAAAAGCAAACGTGCACCATTTCTGCCTCATTCGGGTCCGACAATATAGATTTCCATAGCATATCTTTCACCGACAAACTCATCCTCAATATCATGGTTAATGGAGCCATGGACGCTTCTTTCGACATCCCTTTGCTAACTCTGTCAACAATTAACAGAAGTATACAACAAGAAGATAGTCTAGGCCCCGAACCTGTTGTGCTCATGGGGGATCCGAACAATTTGAAGGCGCAATTGATCGCCAGTCAAGTCGGCAAAGTCGTCTCTCAGCTGAGGGAACCCAGAAACGTAATTTTGAGCATAAGCTCCCGTTGGTTTGGCAAGGCCGACGGAATCGCTGAAGGAGATTTCGAAAAACTCATGTTCGTGCTACAGAACGTAAAAACCTTGCTTGATTGATTATTCATCTCACCAAGTCTTCCAATCTGTGGGTTTATATATTACTGTTTGCATGTACGAGGCGGTAAAAAAGAGCAGGCGCTAATCTGGTGCCGATCTACTTCTTAGATTTCTTCACTCTCTCCTTGGCTGGCACCTTTCTTTCTTTGGTTCCGCTGGTTAATTTGTGCGGCTTCATGAATGATTCAAGCACAGTCTGGTCTACTTTTTGTCTTCTTTCTTGGTATGCGCTCACATACTCTTGAAGCACGTCAATACATTCCTTCTTCATCTCAGAAGACAAAAGCTCACCCTTCTTGTAAGCAGTAGCCAACTGCTCCAACTTTTCGTCGTCGTGACTGAAGAAAGAGAGATACTGGTAGGCGACGTCGACCTCGATGTTACCACCCAATTCCCTGTGCTCTTCCAAAGTGGCTCTGCCTCCAGAGAAAGCGTACTTGTTGATCTTCTTCTGAATCTGCTTTGGCGTGTCATCCATGAAAATAGACGTGGTGGTATCACTGGCAGACATTTTTGTGGAAGCACCTTGCAAAGCGGGGAAGAACTTGGCGTGTATCAATGAAGGTTTAGAGAATTTCAACTTATCAGCAACGTCTCTACACACTCTGAAGTAGGGATCCTGGTCGATGGCGCATGGAATCAAGCAAGGCGTTTTTGGAGGCAACCCCAAGACCTCTGGGAAAGACGAGGGAAAAGCCGTGGCAATTTGGACACTGGCAAAGTGCAACTTGCCGATACAGTCCATGTCCTGGAACCCAAACACAGCCTTAGCGGTGGACGTTGTGATTTGTCTGGATGTCCTGACGATATTTTCGTAGAACGCAGGGTTCATGTACTCCAAGTCAGAGAAGATGAATGTGTTTTCCGGATTGAACCCAACGGCAATGATGTCTTTGCAATTTTCCTTGGCGAATCTCTTGACATCCTCGATGGTCAATTTCTGCTTGAACAAAAATTTCTCGTCGTCCGTCAACTCGACAACTAACGGCACATCAAAAACATCCTGCAACCACTTAGTGAAAATGAATGGAATCATGTGACCCAAGTGCAATGAGTCAGACGAAGGTCCTCTACCCGTGTACAAGAAGAAGGGCTCACCGTGCTCATACAAATCCAAGATTTTGGCCAAGTCTCTTTCGGAGAAAAAAACGCCCCTTTTCAAAAACGGGTGTGGTTCGTGGCCTGTGACCTCGGTGAATCTGGCCAACGTATCTTGCGTGATCAATCGCGTGCCAAAGGTTTCCACTAGCTTGTTGTAGTCAATGCCCTGAGAAAGTCCATTTTCGTCCACGGCAGCAGCAACTTCCCATGGAGTAACTTTCTGCTCCTGCGAGGAGCTGTTGTCGATAGTGAGTTTGGATACGTCTGCAGCGTCTGTCATTGTCAGTGTCTTCGAGTGTCTAGAAAATAGGCGTTCTGAGAAAATCCTGGCACATTTCGCGCGAACCAGATAGGGCCGTTGAGCTCATGCCTCCAATCTTCAAAAATATCAGATTTCTGACACTCCTCGCCCAGTTTATTTCCATGAGTCTCTGATCGAACTATAAGTCTCTGATCGAACTATTTTTTAATTAGTTTTCCGCGGTTCAAATATATATTGAATAGAGTAGAGGGCAACCTTTAAGGCATTTTGCGGGTGTGTCCGCCGTGTCGATGGGCGATGAGCTGCGCATTACCCACGTAAAGCTCGGTAAACCCAATCCACCGACATGAAGTCTATTGTGTCTTGAAAATAACTATGCCATGCAGACATGATCCACTGGGCACTAGTTCTCCAGCACCAGGTATCTTTTTTATCCGTTGCAGAAGTTTTATTACACGATATATGATGTTATAAAATGAGATTAGAAGTTGAGTTTGGAGAAGAACCACTTGTTCTTACCGGCTTGGTGCTTTTCCTCCAAAGCCTTCTTGACAACCTTCTTGGCTTCCTCCTTTTGGGTTGGCTCCTTCAAGGTCTCTGGGGTAACAGAGTTCTTGAAAGACTCGACGTCCAAAGAGTATCTAGTTGGCATCAAGTGGTTGTAGTTGACCAATTTGACGAAAGCCTTGACCTTGGTTCTCTTGGCGAGTTGCTTGGCGCTGTGGGCCTTGGTGACCTTCAAAGGACCTCTCTCGACACCAACAACAATGGCGTGAGAGAAAGAGTGGGACTTGGTACCGTCATCGTGAGGTCTGACAACGACGACTTTCTTACCAGCGAAACGACCACGGGTGACGATAGCTAGATGATGTTAGTACATGTGAATTATGCTAGAAATAAAGCAAGCACGCCACAGCGGGTGGGTTCCTTTCCCACAGCCTGTATCTTCGAGAAGCAAAAGACTTCTGAAATACTACCCGTGTATATTTGTCTGGTTTCCCGCTTTCGAAGCAAGTCCACAGTATACGCTGGTCCATTGAGTATTCAACGAGTACACAAGAACCCATCAATCAGGAAACACTGATTTCATTGGAAAGTTTCTGGGGCGGATATATCCATGCTCACATCGGATGAGTTTGTTGCCCGAAGGCAAGTGAGATGCCAAACGTTGACTTGGAGATCTGGATGAATCTGGGTTCTTTTTCAACGGGGAAACGTTCGCCTTAGCTTGCTTAGAATTGATTTTCAACTTATGGCTACATACCAACTTTACCGGACTTGATGAATTTAACCATTTTAACCTTGTGTAGTGTGTGAGGATGTGAAGCCAGCGAGAATTTGCGAGAGAAAAATTTTGAGCAGGCGAAAATTCCGGGCCGCTGTCTGCAGGCGAGTTGTGTGTCGAACCTATAGAGGAGGTGCGCTGATGCTGTCGCGGGAGGGCTCGTGGTGCGACGTGGTTACAGCCTGTAGTCGTGCGAGTTTCCTGCCCGATCGTAGCACGTGACTAAGTGTGACTGTTGCTCTCTCGGTATTGACTGCGAAACCTATGTAGGCTTCTGGGAGTATGAACCTTGCAATAGCTCACCCGCAGTCAAATGGGACCACCTCATTGTATGAGAATTGCCCGCAACAGTATTTGTGAGGGTTCGTCTTGCCTCCTGATGCGTGTGACACTAAGGTTACTCTAGCACCATATTTCCATCTTTGACTCTGCTACTGGCTAGACACACCATACGCAAGCTTCTCATTTTCTCTTTCGTCTTCAATGTCTACATTTCTGCCACGATGAAGCACACTCAATGATGTAGTTTTATTGATTTTCTAGTTTCATGTAGAACGCTTATCTCTTGCCCCGGGACCTAGCCAAGAATTTTGAGTTCAATGAAGTTATTTTTGCTCCTCCACTGCCTGGCGAGAGTGTGGTGGGATGACCGAAGCCTTGTCCCATTTTATCCCGTGAGAAGCTTGAGCCTCGGCCATCAGGTTTTGGGCTCACCAGATTGTTCAATACAGCAATCTGAGCAGCATGGACCATGTCACTTTCTCCATGCTCCAAAGCTGAGCTGGGTAAACCACCGGTGCTGAAAACAGGGCTAGATGGAACAGAAGGCGGGGCTTTCCGTTTCACTTTTTCTTTGCTCTTGACGTTGCTTTTAAACATATGATTATCTCTGGTCTCCGAGGCGGGAGACCGACTTTGACTCTGTTGGATTTTTTGCAGTTGCCCTTTGGTCCCAATTGGTGACTCTTGTTTCTTGATCTGCTTCTGTGTTGGGCTGGGAAACGATGGAGAGTCAAGTAACCTCGGGGAAGATTTGGGTGTTTCGCTTAAGCTTGGTTTCCTCTCGGCCTCTTTTTCCCTGTGAAATTGGTTCAATTTGCTTTTCGCTAGCGCCTCCGTCCACTGACTAACCTCGTACTTTTCCGTTTCAAACACAAATGTAGTTTTCGCCGAAACAATTGCAAATATACCTGTAGAGGAAATAACTTTACTGAATTTCCCAGTAGAGCTTGACACAACCTCCTTGAACTGAATGAATGGGAAGTTGAGACCCATTTCACAGACCAATTTGTAGTCCGTCTTGTGATCGTCTCTCGAAAAGAATAGAACCCTACCAAACGTACTGACTAAGACAGTGTACGTTCTAACTTTGTCCATGGGGTCAACATGCTGTTTAATAGCAAAATCCGAGCTTCCAGAAGTTGATGGTGTGTTTGGTGACTCTTGTTTCTTATCGCTGGCTGAGAGCAATTTTTTGAAAAACAGCTTACGAAGTTTTACTGTTCCAGATGCCACTGGTACAGGCTTGCCTTCTTCTTCCTCGTGTGAGCTCACTGTATCGATAGTGATGTCATCAAAATGATAAGTTATCGCATCATCTTCATTTTGCGGTTTGCTGTCCATAAACTCTTCCTGTGTGTCTCTCAATCGATTACCCTGAACCACATGAGACAACATGGAACGTGAGTTACTTCGATTCGCTGATGATTGCAAAAGGTTGGTAAAACCAAGCGGCGTGTCGTGGATATAGCCCTTGTTCTTCTTCTCGAACACTTCCGTAGGTAGTCTACGAACAATTGCCAGACCCACATTTATGACCCTTTCCGATGGACTCAAATATTGTTGCCACGCAGCTTCCACTGCTGTCAGTGGCGTCACCTCTATAACCCTAGATGAGTTCCTTCTTAACAGTTCCTGATCAGTTTTTGAGGAAGAAGTCGAATTACTCACAGAATAACTGGCCATTTTGTTGATTTGGGGCCTTAGGATGTTAGTCCCGGGAATGTAATCGGGAGTTGCATTTGAAGACGCAGTTGTCTTTCTTTGTGGTATAGCCTTAGGTGTTCTTGTTTTTGATTTTGGAGGTTCAGATTCCGAGTCCTTACTCAAGACGTAAGCAGCCGCACTTGCAGGTGACACTGATTTCGTCCCACTCTCTTCTTTTTCAATCCGTGTCAGCGAACCATTCAGGGGTTTCTTTAAGAACTTTTTTATCACCGTCTTTTTGGGTGCGTAAGACGTTGGAATCTTCATCATAGATTTGGCGTTCATCTTGTACGAGCTTAGTTCCGGGATGTCTGTATTCCAAATCAGATGCAGATCATTAAAATCGTACTCATGAAAGAAATAATGTTCCTGAATCTGCTCAATAGTGGCTCTTCTGGAAGGCTGTAACACAAGAATCTGTTTAATCAAATCTCTGAGAATCAATGGAAACCCTGCGCTGAACGCGTATTGCAATTTCGTAATCTTTTGGAAAGTAAGATACTCATTAGTGGCTTTGAAAGGCGGTTTTCCGGCAATCATTTGATATAAAATACAGCCGAAAGCCCATAAGTCACCCGGTTTACCGCAATACTTGCTTTCTAAAAGCTCTGGAGAAACGTACTCCGCAGTTCCGACAAATGACTTTGCTCGAACATCAAAAGGATAGTCTTCCTCGACGCCCGTCTCGCCGTTTTTCTTCCGCTCGAGCAACTTCGCCGTGCCAAAATCCGTAATCCGAATACGAAATTTGTCATCTAATAAGATGTTTTCGGGCTTGATATCTCTATGAATCACACCATTAATGTGCATATGGTGAATTGCATCGAGGATTTGTGCACCGAGATATTTAGTGCAATCCTCATTCAAAGTGCCGTACTTCTTAATGAGGCCCAACAATTCGCCATTGGCGGCGTAGTCAAGCACATAGTAAAGAGAGTTTTTGTCCTGAAATGTGAAAAACAAGGAAATGACACCCTGTGTCTGGCTTAGTCTGTTCAAGGCGTGTTTCTCGATATTGACATACTTGACCTTTTTTTCTTTGATGATGTGTCGCTTGTCAAGGATTTTGACCGCATATTGCACGCCTGTTATCTTATCTTTGGCCAAAACCACTGTTGAGTAAGACCCTTCACCTAAGTCTTTACCAAACTCGAAGTCTTCAACGGTTCTGCGAATGACGGTATTTCCCTTCAGAGAAGAGGTCTGTGCAATTGCAGCACCCTTTTTTGCCCACTCGCGATCGTTAAGCTTTTCGTCATAATTTCCATAGCTTCCAAGGCTGTCGTCTGTGGCATTGCCACCATTAACTATTTCGGTTAGTGGGTCTAAGCTTCTGGAGCTATCTGCAAGCGAGGCCTGTGAAATAAAGTGGTGCCTTGTTTCACCGGGCGTGTCAAGAAGCACATTCAAAGATGAATTTGTGGCTTGATGTCTTCTATCAGGAACAAGAAAATCGAACGACGAACTTGACTGCAGGGTTCCAGAGCCCAATTGCGGGACATCACGATGTAGTACCATTGCCGGTTCGTTTGTGCTAGAGTCGAGTGAGTGTGTCAGGCTCGAGTCTCCACTTTTTCTTGCGTAGTTTTTGTAAATCCCGTCAAGTTCTTGGGACAAGCTCGTCATGCTCGGATGGCGAGACGAATGAGGAGATACCATGATAAGATACGATTAGATTTGATGTCCAGACATGCAATCTTTTGCCTTCTTTTGTATCTCGGGGACTAGAAATGCGAGCTGGTGCTCTATCTGTAATGCTATGCAACGGGTGAAAATGAACAAGAGACTCTGACCCTCTGGATCTGATGATGCTATGATGATTAAATATCAGGGCGACAAGCCGTCTTAGTTCTAGCACACGTTTCTAAGGAACGAACAACTTTAGTGGAACTAAATCAAGGATGCTTGTATCTCTATGTGTTAATTGTGTAAATCCAAAATCAAAATGCGTGTGCAAATCCGTCGGGGGTCGACGTAGATCACTTTTTGGAGATTAGTTCCGGGCTTAGAATATTTGTCCTGAACGAATGTTGCTGGTGTGCCGGTTATATGGAGGCACAAGGAGGCCGGATTCCATTTTGGTGGGTTGCGGGTGCGAAAGTAGTCTACAATACTCTACAACATGACAACGAGGCCGAAAATTAACATAAGACCCCGAGTCTAAAATCCAAGGTGGCCTCTATAAAGCACATCATTCTACTGTATGAGACCGTTCAGGTGCACCGGCAACTCCAGATCTACTCCTGGAGCATGTTTGTTCACGTGCGTGGACGCACTTTTTCATGCCATTAAAGGCACTCGTGTCGCGGACCGCGAAGCCTAAATATGCTCATGCATATAATGCACTATTTCCTGCAAGGCCCCAACACTGCCCCGGGCCGAAGATTGAGGTTCAGATAGACAGTTCGCAACCAATTGCTTTCAGATATAGGCAAACCACGTAGTCAAGTTCAAAACTTTATATGATTATCATTGACAAAAGTCTCTCAAAAACTTCATCAGTGTATGTATTGAATTCTCACTCCACTGATTTTTTTTAGAGCCGCGTCTTTTTTAGGAAGGCTGCAACATTAACTAGAAAACTACTTTAATTTTAAAGACCTGATGACGAGACTAATTGGTTTGAGCTCATGATAAAAAGCTACGTCAGCTTTGTCTTGCAAAAAATATCTGCAATCGATATAGCAAAGATGATATCAACTTTTTTGAGTTATCGTAGATTGAACAAAGTTACAATCGATACTGCCAATCTTTCGCTGCAACAAGCTTGCTACGCATAGGTAGATGATAACATGCCAAAGTGCAAATCATATCCCCTATCAGCAACTAAACGTTATTTTTGGAAAACTTCTGTTTTGATTCAAAGAAACTGAGCTCACAACAGTTTACTGAGAGAAGTAATATACAACCAGAGTGTGATAGCTGTGCGCGAGGATAATCATAGCGTTACGGAATGCTAGGATATTTTTCCGACTGTCTTAATTTAAGGTCTTGTTCTCTCGGAATCAGCTCTGTCAGACGTCATAAGCCAGCTGAGACTCGTTGCTGATTGAACGTATTTGAAAAAAAAGACAACACTGATACGTATATTCATGGTTAAACAACAAGTCGTTCATATTTAGTTCACCGAGGATTATTACTCTCTTACTTGTAAGAAGTTCATAGCACTATCTTTTGCATACGGGATTGTAAAAAATTGAGTGCCCAGTCTCATGAACACGAATAAACTGGGCTTTGTAAAATCACGACGTAGATTCCGCTTCGTACATAAAACGTAGGACCTGCTGTGCAACTTGAAAATACCAGAATCTAGTTTTGTCGCCTGAATGAAAATGCATGTGACAGTATAGGAAGCGGCGATGGAATACAGCTGTTCAATCAGTATGCAAAGCCTTACTATTCCAGTCTAAGGACTGTGCTGCTTCTATAATGTCAGGTGGTTTAAGGTTCAGTGTCCCGCATAATACTTTTCAACTTTCACCTCAAAAATATGCGGGGTTAAAATTTACACACTTTGCACAATAATTTTTATTTTTGTGGACTACTGAAAGTCAATCGAGCAGTATTTCAGATAGAACTTATCATTTTCCAACCGCCTATCGTGCACCGCTTCAGCCTTGGCTCGGACTCCATATGCATTACCGAGTCTATTTCGAAAAAGTACCTGCCTCGGCAGAGCATACCCACTGCCGCACCCCAGACCAATACCGCGTTTCAACACAATCGATTTGAACACCCGTCCAAGTCCCTCATAGCAGTCTTAAGCTTCCTTAGTTATACCCTTCAACAAGACACAAGAGCTAGTGACAGGGGTCACGCAAATAATGCTCGTTTAATTCAGAGATCTCGCTTGTGCCTACCGAAATTTGAGATCCGTTTAAACACAGCTCCATAAATGGCTTTTCCTTTGGAACCTTCACAACTTCGAGCGTATCAACGAGCATTCTGCTTGGCAACATGTGAAAATGATTTTGATTCTACCAAAAGAGTGATAAAACCTCTCACTCTGGGTATTTTCTACGAAGCATGCAACACAAAATATTTCGACGGGTACCGACCTTCCAGTCCGCCAATACCTGTCGATTTTCCAGAATTGATATCTACATCAAACCTTGGGTTATCACTGTCCCACCATAAGCGTCATTCTTCTCGTATCACCAACAAAAACATGAATATGCGGCGAAAGCCTAAAGTACCTGCGCCCACGAAACTTAAACAGCCAATGGTCGAAAGTGCACTGCAAGTCGAACTGTTCGACTTTCAACAATCATCTGTATCGGCTGAGTCTTTAAATACAGTGAAAGAGCAAAAGAAATCAATATCAAAGATGAACCCGCTCTCAAAGCTATTTGTGAAAAGCGATAAACTAAAAGAACAAAGAAGTGATTCTCAAAGTACACTTCTGCGTTCTCTGCTAAACAAAACCACAGATTCATTTGAAAGCACATCTGACTCAGAACAAGCTATAGATACTTTCAGTATCTATTCCGAAGCAGAATCGGTGGGTGAAGTCACTGATGAGGGTGAATATGCTACTGATGACGTAGAAACTCTAGAGCATACAAGCCCAAAAAATCCTGGCTCGGAAGAAGAGTCTCTTAATTCTGCTTTCACTGATATTGAAGCTGAATCTATAATTAGTGCAAGTGCCAATATCATGTACGAATATACCGTGCCAGAAACATCTGTGTTAAAAAGCGACGCGGAAACAAAAAAGAGACAAGATCAAGACAACCAAGAGTCAGTCTACAGCAAAGCCATTGGCAGCTTCAAGGCTTATCCTGAAACAAATAAGAAAAGCCTTGGTGTTGGCATACTGATTCTTAACAAGCGCACTCCTCTTTTGAGGAAGCGAGAGTCGTTCTCCTTCCCAAAAGTATCTGATCTTACTTCACACGAACAGACCGGGAAGAAGTCAAATTTGAGTAAAATTATTCAAACAAGACATATTCACTCCAATTCAAACCCTTTGATGTATTTCTCCTACAGCGGCACTAACACAGCGGAAGGTATCCGAAGGGCTCACGTTAATATATTTGTGCCACCAAATATGTCACCTGCAATAGAAAAACTCCCCATCGCGGGAAATATGTCAGTCTTCGACTGCATTGGCTATATTCTACTAAAGCTCTCGGAAATTGAAAGTGAAACAAAAACAGATTTTGAGTTGTCTTTGAATCCTAATCACTACAGATTGGAACTCACTGATGAAGATGGGGAATTATATGACTCTAACTTTGGTGTGCTAGACAGGACTCGTCTAATGTCTTCCTACAATTGCCCGAAACATTTGGCATTGTGTGAGATCAAAAAACAAGAAGAAATCTTGGCCAATGAAAAACAGTCTCCACTTCCTCTTGAGTTTCGCCAAAATCTACATCTACACGAGGAGCGTTCTCGAAGTCCTAAACCCGAGGAGTCCAAAAACTTCGGGAAAACCGAGAACTTTGCTTTTGCCGCTCCCGGTGGAAACAGTATCGAGGTCAAAGTGAAGAATATCCCATCGACCAGCAAGGTCATCAGCTTTTTCGTGGCGTCAAAAATGCAAGTAGGCGACTTGCTTGATTTGATTTGCAGGCAATATCAAGTCGACCCAACACAATTTAAACTTTCTGGGTGTCAAGTATCGGCTCAAGAAAATTTGGGAGATGTCTCTATGTTGAGTACAAAAAACGAAGAGCGTACAATATCACTCGAAAGAACTCAAACTCTTTCTGAAATTCATGTGGACTTTTTCAAATTGGACCAGATAGTGAGACCGTCAATTAAGTCTATGTTAGACGTGAGAGCAAAGCGAAGTTCTTTTGTCGAGGCAGGAATTACTCCAAATTCGTCAGCATTCAACCAGCAAGGGATCACTCCCCCGGTTGCTCCATTTGACGGCAAACTCCAAGAAAACTCAGATGATGATACTGAAAGACAAGATGATGCCGAAGGCCGTGTATCCAAAGAATCACGCGGTTTTTCGACAAAGGATTCAAGAAGAAATACTGCTTCAAACACCACCTCAAGCATAAGTAACTTGATAAGCGGAAGAACGTCTCAACTTCCATCAAGTCTGAACACATTTTATTGCAAGTGGCGAGTATTTCGAAAAAAGGCCCCCTTGATCTACAGGATTGAGAAATCTCTCATAATTGATGGTGATTACATCCATTTGGCACCGACGGATGACGCAAATTGGAAATCAAATTTTAATGACCACTCTTTATCGAGTACCAGTCAGAGTGGAAACCATCATCACCACCATTATTTGCATCACTATAACTTCTCAAAGTATTATAATGATACTATGCTAAAAACAAGCTCCTTTCACATCTCGCAGATTGTGAAGCTCAAGCTGTTCAAGGACAGCAAGAGTCCTACGCATTTTAAGATTGTGATAAAAAAACAGGGCGAATCTGGTGGTAAAGAAACCGTGGTAAAGAAGAAATACGATCTTGAAGCAGAAACACTAGCACAGTGCGATGATATTTTTGAAAAGATTAGATGGGCCTTACAGTTGTACAATAAGTCGAATGTAATGTAATGTAATCCACGTGTAATGTTCGACAAGTATTACAAGACTAACCCACGAATAACGTAGATTGATTGAAGAGCATTAGATTTATAGCACGTTGCAGAATTAATCAGAAATTACGAGAAATAAAATCCTGTCAAGTAATGGTCATGTCTCACCGAAGCAATGGCTGAAAATGCATCCGGATTATTTCCGTCCTTCATCCCACGCATCGCACTGCACAATATGGCATCACGTAACATGTCTCTTTCCCTGAATTGGAAGGCCTTAAGCTCAAGAATTGGGCATAAGAAGCCACAGGAAATCAAAAGCAAGAAGCTCGCGAAGGGACACAAATACCAGGCCAAAGATGTATCAAAACTTAGAAAAGCTCAAGAGATTATCCGTACCGCGTCTACGAAGCTTCTTACTCCATTAGAGTTTGCACTTTGGGCTCGCACATCTTCTTCGACTTTCAGTGTTGCATCCAGTGATGCTAAGATAGCGGTAGATTATTCAGATAAGAAAAAATCTGCTCCAGGTAAGTTTCTAGCTATCGACTGTGAGTTTGTTGGCGTAGGCCCGAATGATCAGTCTGCTCTTGCCCGAGTGTCTCTTGTCAACTACTACGGCGTGGTTTTACTAGATACATACGTAAAGCCCGAACAACGTGTGACCAACTGGAGAACGTGGGTTTCTGGAGTTACGCCACAGCACATGCGAAATGCAGTTTCATATAAAGAGGCTCGGGAGAGAGTCAAGAATATCATTGACGGCAGGGTTCTTGTTGGCCACGCAGTACATAATGACCTCGAGTGTCTAGGCATTTCAGTACCAAAACATCTCATAAGGGATACGTCCAGATTTCCAGAGTTTAAGAAGCAAAATGGCGGGAAAATGCCAAGTCTCAAGAAGCTTTGTCGAGTATATTTGAACCTCGAAATTCAGAATGGTCTGCACTCGTCAGTGGAAGATGCCCAGGCTACGATGGCAATTTTCCGGCTTCACCAAAAGGCAATGGAAAGTCATTTTACGAGTTGAATAATCAAAGCACCTCAATCATATTGGATAGAATTACTTGTAGAGAGTATATAGAAGGAAGAACAACATACCCAACCGCGAAATCAAAATCAGAAAGAAGATCAGTCAACATCAAACCTCAATTCACTCAGAACTTCTCTAATTTCAGCCCATCAGTGACGCTGCATAAATTACGGTAGAACATTTGTCTGACAATTGTCATGCGCTGCACAGACTCAGTTGCACCATTAAGCAGCTCAAATTGGTGAATCGTATCCACATTAAAGACTTCTATCTTTCTGAGGGAGACAGCAATTTTTTCTTGCCAAATCTTAGGATTGTAGCTCCGGTCTCTAACAATTCTCATTAGAATCACTGAAATGTCATTTGTGAGAGAATTGGAAGCGGCGTTTATGAAAGATTCTTCCAATTTTGCTTGAATAATGTGATAAATCATTAGGGCCGAGTCCCTCAGTCGCTCGAGAATCATTGCGTAAAGTGCGATGAATTTGAATTTGAAAATCTGCTCACATTCGCCAATAAATATGTGAGCAGCCAACACGAGCCCCAAGTGTAACGACTCACACAGAGAGCATATACCATCTAGTAAAGCATCTGGGATCTTGTCCCTCCCGAGTTGAGTGAGAGGTACACCTTCTAGGCCAAGTTCAGACAAAAGAGTTTGGAATGTCGAATCAGGGACAGAAAGATAATAGACAAGGAGATATGCAAGCACAAAATCATCCGAACTTTTCGCTTTCAAAATGTGACCGCCTTGGCGTTGTCCTTTCGCAAGCAAACTTCGTCTAATCGTGTTAATGGAAGTGTGCCTAACTTGAGAGACAATCAAGCCTTTTGAGATCAAGAAAAGAAAGACAAATTCATAGTTCTCTCGACGAATTTTAATATCAACCCTTTCCTCGAACAGACTTATCAAAGGCTCTAGGTTGGATCTGATTGCGAAAACTTTGCATGTAAATGCTTCGTCAAAAATCATCTTCTCGAAGCTTTTTCCTAACGAGGAGATCATAGCTTGATAATTAAGAGGAAACTCCAGAAGTAACGCACCTGCTATTACCCATACAAGAAGTGGTAAGTAAACTGAGTCACTAACCAAGCCTTGCATCAAACGGAGAAAACAAACAGATCCTTCAAAGAAAGAGGCAGGATCGTCGAACAGCTGACCTGTAAGTACTTCCATTATTCTTCCTCCTACAGAATCGCTTATTCCTGAACGAGCCAATGTACAAACGATAGTGTATGCCCTCATTTGGAAAAATGAATCGCTGAAAGCTATGTCTTTCGAAAGCGAAGACCAACGTGAAATCCAATACTTTTTATCGTCAGCGGAGCCAATTTTCGACATAAAGTTATTGAGATAATCACAGAGGTGCTCGAAGGATAATGCTCTCTCGTAGTTCTGAGAAAAGTCAATGTGTGCACCACGTTCTTTAGTTGTCAATCCGAACAACATTTTGGCCCTCTGGCTACTGAAGTATTCAACTGTCTCATTGATCAAGTCTACCTGTTCGTCTCCTAACAGAGGCTTACATGAAAAAGACTGGATAGTGCTCAAAACGAGACTTTGCAAATCATGACCAAAGTCGAGATCAGACCGGTCTATGAAAAGCGTGCAAAAGAGGAACACATCCAGCAAATATAACGACCCATAAACGAATGAGTCAAAGAACAAAGATGAGCATATCTTGATCAAAATGGATATTTCCGAGATTTTGCTCTGAATAACAATCGCAGAATCTCCTTTTTTAGTCTTGTAGATGCAATTATGGAGTCTTGAGACGAGCTCTCCACATAGTTCAACACTGGGATGGAAAACAGAGATAATAATGTTCCAGTCATCACTTTCTGATGCAATCTCCATAGCTATAGCAACCAATTCGTCCACAAGAATGGTTGTCATTCTCATATCTCTGAATATCTTTTTCCAAATAAGTTCTTTCATGAATGATAAAATAAGAGGATTTTTCGTTGTGATTTTGCATAATTGACGCACAATGAACGACATCTTTTCCACTCCATCGATCTCCTTTGAAATATGTTCATGAAGATTCACAACCCAGGGTGATATATACATAACCCCCGAAATTTTGGAGCTTGCTGTGAATTTGTCAAAGTTTGCAAAGAAACTCCTTAGGAACTCATGCGAATACTGAGGGAAGTGATCAGCAAGGCTTGACGAATAGGACACCACAAAATCAGTCATATCCACAGGAAACGATGCTTTGCTAAAATATCTGCTGGATGAGTCGAATGTGATATTGTAATAGGAGGAGAAAGATTTCAAAAGCTTAGAAGCAGCAACTCGGACCTCGTCATTCGATTGAAGTAATCCATGGAACAGCAATGTTGCCAAAGCACTGAATCTTTGAGATTGCTCGAGCTCTGATTTTTGCGCAGCGGATCTCGAACTCTTGGATTTCTTGGAGGACCGAAGCATCGCGAAGTACAAGAATCGAAGCACTTCTTCCCTTTGTGGTGTGACGAGGGTGACCTGATAGTTGAACTTATTGAGATAGAGGGTGAACTCATTGTTCTCACCGCTTTTGTTTGAAATTTCACATTTTATGAGATCCGTCAATCTGAGAACCTCAACAGGAGCAATTGACTTCGTTGGGCTATAATCTCGATCCAAATTCATTCTTTCAAAGCATATCAGAAGCCACAGTCTCCCAAGCCTAAGGGTCACATTCGTAAACATACTCATTTTATCGTCGTAGAGCTTACAAGACTTGCAAACAAATTTGACATCCTGGGGGATGGCCATTGTGGCCTCACTGAGACATAATGATTCAATCATCTCAGAGCTGTCTTGTTCGGAATAGAAGGATATCGAGCGTTCAACATTATTTTGGGGTCGGAAGTCGGTCCATGAATCAATAATCGCCAAATAAGAAGGCCGTGGTAAGTTGTAATAATAAGTTCGCTTGCAATTTCTGAAAAATACCCTGGGAGCATATGTTTTCAACAAATTAGCAATATCTTTCCCAAAGATCTCCATAAAATAGAACTGAGTCAAGTCGATGACGCAATAGAATTGATTTTCCCATATCTGACTCACAGTTTCCAACAACAAGTATACCATTGTGCTGACATCATAAGATATCTCTTTTATGTATCTGAATGTAACCACAACGACAGGAGTACCATCATGAAAAACAAAATTTTTAACAATCGGAGTTTCGATTGAGGTTTCAATGTTCTTCGCAGACATTTTGGCCATGAATTCTGTGAACTGAGAATTTCCTATGTTGGACTGAGCATCGATACTCTTGTATGACTTTGTGCCTTGCAAAGAAATTGCTGGCTTAGGATTCCCGAGCTCACTCATAATTTTATCAAGCTTTCGCCAAGCCAAGATATTTTGCTGGAGGCATTTTTCATCGGACGACTGGTTCCCCACGAGAAAATTGTGCCGAATCTCAACAAAATAAGCGTAGAAAAACTTGTGAACATACCTCAAGCATGTGAGCGGTTTCAGCAGTGTTACATGAAAAACGTAATTTTCATTACTCCTTTCAGCGGCGATTTTCTCCATGAATGCAAAGATTTCGGCATTGAGGTCGTTCATTTCTGCTGACCTTGTCGCCAAGGAAGCCCATTTCAAATTCAATATTGATCCATTCGCCATATACTGTATGGCCTTCACAATTTGCATCAATGATCTTTTGACTCTTATGTCAACTGAAGTAATATCAAAAAATGACTCAGGGCACACTATAGCTGGACAAAAAAAGCGAAGGAACAAGAAGGAACCCACTGCAATGAGCGATGATTCGTCAAATTTTTTACCAACACATCTGTGAATCTCGAAGCAAATAAATTTAAATGCTTCAGGGACCCATGGTATAGAGTTTACAACACTCTTCACTAATTTTCGAAGATATTTGAAAAAAAGATCGACGTCTTCTTTTTTGCCATCTCTCTCTACCTCAAAAATCACATTGTGCTGGACCATTTCTTCCACAAAAGGTCGCAAAACAACCGATAGATAAGGCGCTCCATATTCTTTAGCGAATATTGACATAAGTCGTGTTAATGTGGAATTTCCGCGAAATATATCCGAGGCTCGATTCACACTTTGCATTTCGACTTCCAAAAGGATGAGAAATAACTTATCGAGGCCTTTCGTATATCCAAAAAGCCCGTTTAAAGAAGTTGCCAAGAGGTTGTGCTCAGCGGGGGACGCGACTCGTGCCGCGGCTCCATATACCTCAATGATTTCTGACATTCGATAGACTGTTGAATCTGAAAACTCTTCCTCCCCAAGCTTTAGTTTTCCAGCTGAAAGTGTGGTGGCAAAGATATCTAAGAAAATGGATCTTATTTTGTTGTTTTCATGGTAGCCCAAAGGTATGGCGAATTCTAATCCAATTCCCACATTTGCCCTAAGCATATTTGAAATCGCCTTCAAGACATGCTCTGTGATCGTTTGTATCTTGAACTTGGACTTGATGACCAATGGAGATGGGTCATTGCCGTTGAATTTTTGAAAAATCTTGTAGAATATGGAGAAAAAGTTCGAGAAAACAAGGATCTTTGCCTGTTCGAAATTGCTCTCTTTCGTGCCATCAGGGACAGTTAAGACCAAATTCTGAAGCTGCAATGAAAAGCTTTTCGCACATTCTGCAGCAAGTTCAATTTGTAGAAACTCAACATCAGAAGCTCGCCCATTTGAAGATGCGATAGTAGTTGAGTCATTCGATAAATCTGTGCTATAAGAAGCTGCGGAGTCAAGCCAGTCAGCCGCAATCTTGGCGAATTTATTTCTAAGCTTGTACGCACCAGAAATTCCGAAGTTGTCTCTCAGGGCTGACATAACGTAAGTGAGTTTGCATAAGCGAAGCTTCAATTTTATCTGATCAATCAGATTTGGGACGATATCGACATATTCAAAGAATATCTCAATAACTTCTGGCAATAATGCTGCCAAAATGAAAGCCCCCTCAGACTTAATGTTGAGAATGGATGTGAATATTGATACTGCCTCTTCGAAAAAAAGTACAGATTCTGCTGAAACGCTGCTCACATCTTTGTATACCCTGACAGAATTCATAATCTTATCGTATATCAATTGATAAACCTCCGAGTGAGTCTCAGTAGATAGTGCCTCGCGGATAACAACTCGGATAAAGAGCTCTTCACAATTGAGCAATGCAACAGCTCTATCATAGAAAGATGATATTACGGTTGTTGCTAGCTCTTGAGGACCAATTCCGCTTTCTTCGAACATTGAGCCCAAAAAGCAACCAGAAGTAGTCGCTAAAAACTCCGTGTAATGTTTGAATGTGAAGTTATCATCAGTTGCACCAGTTTTGTCATCAACCATTTCCACCCATCTGTTGTAAATCATTAACCAGGCTTCATACAAACCTCTGGTGGGCTTGAAGTCGGCCAAAATAGACTTGAACTTTTTATGGAGAGAGACAAATCCGGTGAACACAATATCATCTCCCATAACGTCACAGAAAGATTCGGCAAGAGAATTTTGAAAACAGTTGAATCCACTTCTAGTCGCGCATGTTTCAAAGGAATGTGCTTTGATAGATAGCTTGAGTAAGCTGAAGAACTGGATATCATGAGTGCATAAGCAAAGCATCAAAAGCTTGTCCAAAGAAGTGCAAACTCTTTCACAACCGATATGTGTCCATTTGCTCTGGTAAAAGTCATTCTTTTGAGCGCGCAAGGGGGACTCGATCCTCTCTAAAAGAAAACTTTTGAGGGATATGTAGTATTCCTTGAATGCTGGGTAGGAGAGAGATCCAATGACTTCGCACGTGCTATAAATCACATTGTGAGAGATCATGGTACTAATACAATGCACCTCATCGGTTGAATCCATTTCGTTTCCAACTTGTAACAATCTCATAGACAACTTGCAAGCTGATTTGAACATACTTCTGGAAGTTGTACTTTGAGAATGAATGGCCACGTTCAAAGGAACAAATACAGCATCTGAAAACTTAAGCATTTCATGCGCCTTTTCATCTCTGGTGCCGCCACTATTCTTAAATTGAAACTGCATGAAAAAAAGAGGACTTTTAGTATAAATGTCGAGCGTCAATCTTAGAATATTCTGAATCATAAACACCTGGTCTTCAGGTACCTGGCTGCCGTAAGGCCTTGTCCAGAAGTTTGGATTTGTTTCTTGATCATCCTGGTCAATGTTGTCGACATCGGAACTGCTGCAAAGCGAACGTGTTTTTGACATTGGTGCGTTTTTCTGACATAAAATTTGAGCACAACAGTGCATGATATTGGATAGGGTCGCATTAATTTGTCGCATAAGGTGATTGACCGTATCACGATACCTGCTATGGCAAGATAGAGCCATAATAACCTCTAAAAGATCATGTGAATCGATTGTTTTGGACTTATCGTAGAAAACCAGGGCTTGAAGCTCGTGCTTCTCCTGGAACTCACCAATGAAAATCGATATATACTTATCAGGATTGATGGCAATAGCTGCAGTAAACAACTTTTGGTGCAAGCTTCTGAAGCGAGCAAGAAGTGAGTCAGTGACACATTTCAGTCGCATTTTAGAAAAATTCTGAAAAGTATCATCGAGATACCTATTGCTGAACTTTCTCACAGCACCTTCATTCTCAGGCAATAGAGACGCCCATAAGAAGATACTGATCAAAGATTCGAAACAATCTAGATCAGCTCCTGCGTGCGAATCTTTCAATATCGAGTGTAAGAACTTAACCCTCTTATTGAATACTTGCTTAAGCTTTCCTGATTTCAGTAAAAGTTCATCAAATCCAGACGGACAAAGAACAACATACCATGACAATAACGATGTATTGGTATTTGATTCATTTTCAATTGCTGTGGAAATATAGTCGAAGATGATCTTGCATTCCTGCTCTGCAGAGCTTCCGGCGTAAATTACATTTGAGTAAAAACCGGGCTTGTTGATGCACTGAATTCGTAGATTAATGGACTCATAATGTAGAAATAGCTGCTTCCAAGTCATTGAGCGAATATAGGGAATCGCACTGTATACCAGCTTGAGATAGAAACTGGTATTGTTTGGCGTGCAATAGACGAACATCAACAGACATGCATACCGCTGTAGCGCTGCAAGTGGTATATTCTCACCACGATTCACGTATGAAAAGAGTCTCTGCTTCACGAAATTTGCATAGTCGGGCGGGTTGGATGCTGCGATATAACGTATGAGAATCAGTATGTTTGAGTCGATCTCTAGAATTTGAGAGCGGAGTTCTTGGGCCAGAAGACCAAGCTGGGGAGAGACACTGTACGCAACATCTCGAGGCACGGGTTTGAATTTACAGATGTCCGAAAGTCCCTGAATGTTGATCTCGGGCGATAGTATCTTAAAAAGAACTCCGAGCACATGGCCTGTATCGATGTTAACTGCGGGAGGCTCTTTATGGGCGTAAAGATCAAATATGTCATGTGCAATGTTCGATTCGATGTCAAAGTTTATGCCCACATCCATAGACAGATCTTCCTTTTGAGAGTAGTTGCCCTCAGGGTCCCATTTGGTGATTGCAATGATGCGCAAGAGTCTGGTGAGGATGACCGTGGAAGATAACACATTTGTGCTTCTGTCTATAAGCTTTTGCGTTTGCGGGTCTATGTTCAACTTCTCCAAGATTGAAAGTAAGGCTTTGAGGATGTCGGAAAAAAAGTCCTGATGCCCGTTGAACTCATTCGGCTTGCAGTTCTTGAGTATGAGGTTTGTTGTGATGATGAACTGCGAGTCTAGCTCAACCTCGGCTAAGGAATGACCCATGCGGTTGGGCAAGACTGCGTCGAGTCGGCTGACTAGAGCGTTGATGAAACTCGACCCCATTTTCCAACTATCAATTCTCGTCAACCGTGCGGTCCAGGCTGACGCCTACCCCAGGGAGAGTTACTGAAAGAGGGGAAAGAAAAAAAAACCCTTCTCGATTAACCGGCCGCGATAATGTGAATTTCACGACAGAGCTGGCGAGGTACTTTTATCAAAGGGAATGCTTGGCTCTATCTCTGTGCAATGGGTTGCTGGGAGAGCTGACGTGGTTTGTTTTGCGAGCCTGAGTGAACTGACGAGCCGATCAAAGTATACACCTTTAATATAAAAAGCGTGGTCACGTGTGTCTGGGGACAGTAGTGTGGGTGTACTAAAACTGGGCTAAAGTGAGGCTGAAGGAGCTAATGAGGAGATGTAGAGAAGAGCATGAATCGCCGCGTTGCCCATGTATGTGCACCTGAGTTCTCGGCGCAGGCGCGGATGGGGTTCGGGACAACTGCAAAAAGACTGACGCAGCTGGGCCTCGTACAGGCTGCTAGGTTGCGAGCCAATAAGTTTGGCGAATGGTTAGAAAAGGACTAGACAAGCGCTGGAAGCACATCAAGCTAAAATACATTTGAAACATGGTTTCTGAAACAAAGTTTTGCTGATTGAGTGTGACCATCAGTGCGGTCTGTTTGTCATAGCACTATGTGTGGGGCTACATACATTGCGCGAGTGACTCCCAATTCTGCTGCGCTCTCGCCAAACACTTCGTTAAACCTGCCGAGATTTTTTTCTAAAAAATTTAAAAAGAACTGAGCGGGTTGCGTTGGAGCCAAAGCTTAAGCACTATGCTAGTGCAGCCTTCAATCCCGGCTCGCCTTCGTTTGATTGTTGTGGAGGTATATATGGCTCTGCTGAATACCGCTCATTTAAAGCTTCTGCGCAGCTTCATATATATACGCTTTATCAGTGGCGAAGGCAAGGCATTCTGAGAGAAATTCTCGTATTTATTCTGAAGTTTATTCTCCTTCACTCTATAGCGCTACAATTGTTCTAACATTCGTGGTAAGGAACCATGTGACTCGGACGATATGTCAGTGAGTTGCAAATGCCTGTATACTGGAACGTCCAATGAAACCCGCGGTCCTGTTAACGATCTCCGAGCGAAATCCACTCCTCACAACTTATTCTTCATAAACAATGGGTGCTGCTTACAATATCCTCGGTAGATCCGTGCAACCTTACATTTTGGCCCTTGCCACCTTGGGCTCTGTTGTCTTTGTCGTTGCTCCAAAGCCATGGGGCCCAGCCAAGCCGGTGCACCCTCCTATCAACGCTGCCTCTCCTGAAGAAGAGAAGTTCGTCCAGGACTTTTTGGCGAAGCACGCTGAGAAGCACTAGTCAGTCTTTCTCATAGAACAGAAACGTATATAGATAAATGAATATCAGTTTGGACGACAGAGTAGTGCCAGGATGGGTGTGTGAGCAATACCCGTCCTATGCAAAATAAACCACCAGGCCATCCTCAAGGTTCGGCATTCGCCTAGCCATTTTCTTTGAGCATATGGCTTTCAAACAACAGTGACATGAGGCTGATTCGAATAGTTCAGAATTGACTACAAAGGGTTCCGGATGATATCTGTTTAGGTTTACGGGAAAAAGATTTGCAATGAGCATTGTACAGGAACCCAGCCTTCCCAAGATTCTTGATTCTACCACAGGGATAATTTTCATTTCTGCTTATGGCATCCAAGGATAGCTTCGAAAATTGGCGCCGTTTTGGCTCAGATATGTCCATAAAGGCAGATGCCCTTGGGCCTGCCCTGCGATGCTCGTTCTATATACCAAACCTCATCGTGAGATATACTCACTAGAAAAAAAACTACCTCAGCAGCAAAAACAATTACATACGCAAACCAAAGAATCCTCATCAACAATGTCTGCTATCTATAAGGCCTTGCAGTCAAAATCGTCAAAGGACACCTCCGAAAAAGCTAAGCACATAAACCGTCAACGAGTCTTGGTAATTTCATCTCGTGGTGTCACGTACAGACACCGCCACTTGATCAACGACTTGACACAGTTGATGCCACATGCGAGAAAAGAGCCTAAGTTCGACTCAAAGAAGAACTTGTGGCAACTCAATGAAGTAGCTGAGTTATACAACTGCAACAACATCTTCTTCTTCGAAGCCAGAAAGCATCAAGATCTTTATCTCTGGATCTCCAAACCACCCAATGGCCCAACGTTGAAATTCTACATCCAGAACATGCACACTTTAGACGAGCTCAACTTTACCGGAAACTGCTTGAAAGGCTCGAGACCAATTCTTAGTTTTGACAAAAGTTTCACTGATTCTCCTCACCACGAGCTTATGAAGGAGATGTTCCTCCACACGTTTGGCGTGCCTCCCAATGCGAGAAAGTCCAAGCCATTTGTTGACCACGTGATGACATTTTCGATCGTCGACAATAAGATATGGGTGAGAAACTACCAGATTTCCGAGACCGAGCTGCTCAAGGAGTCCGAAGTGGCCAACATCGATGCTGATTCGTTGTCTTTGGTCGAAATCGGTCCTCGTTTCGTGATGACCTTGATCACGATTTTGGAAGGCTCTTTCGGTGGCCCCAAGATCTACGAAAACAAGCAATATGTGTCGCCTAACTTTGCCAGAGCGCAGATCAAGCAAAAGGCTGCTGAGCAAGCCCGTTCGCGTGCTAATGCTGCAGTTGATCGGAAGGTCAAATTGAGAGACCAGGTGTTGAAGGTGGACCCCTTGTCCAACGCCAGTTTGTTCAAGTGAAATGTTTAGAATGTGATATAGGGAAATAACAATTTTTTGATTTTTTCCTTGTGCTTGCCAGACGATCTTTTCTGGGATTCTTGAGCATGTTCTTTCTTTTGTTCAATGAAGCTGGGTTTGACAAGTACGCCAAACGCCATGGATCCAGCAATTCGGAATGCATTTGTCCAAAACTCTAGATTGTGGATAGTACTGCTGTATCTCAGATCTATGAAAATGGCATGTTGTTCCGGTTTTGCAAATATTGGCTAGGACATAGAACGTAGTCATGGTGAATGCCCTTTCGATACCGCGTTGCATATTCCCTCCTAAGCCAGCGAACATGTGGCAAACATGTGGCAAACATATACACATATATACATAAATACATGTATCTTTGCATGTTGTCCTATTATCAGCAGACTACTGAATTTGGCGTACATTTCACGGTATTGAAAAAATAAAGAGAATCAATTTTGACAGAACTTTCGGGAGATACCGTGGTCCACTAAATTTAGTACGTCCAAATTACTGCTCCGCCACACTGCCTGCCCGACATAAATAATGAAATGCGCGTTCCACCATGAAGCCGGAAACAAAAACCAGTCCAAGTCTGCCCCAACAATAACTGTCGGGACTGTCAAAACCAATAACATTCGACGTAAATATATTTGCTCCATATTGAGATTAACCCCAACAGAAAGAAACTACTCTACATTCCACACACGAACGCGCTATTGATGTCTAGGTTCAGAGATAAGTTCGTAGGCAATGCAGATTCGCAGAGCATTAATTGGTACCTGAGAAGTGCCAACAATTCACGAGATAACTTTGGAACCCAGCAGAATAATGCTCACCCAGAGACAGGTCGGGTCAGACCTTATTCTCCCATTGAAGATGGACACCTGAGGCACACACCACTACGTGACGAGCGATCTTATTCTAACTTCCAAACGGACACGTTAGGTATGAATAAGGAATACGACACTCACAATTCTGCAGAGCTGTACGAGCTAACAACTGTTTCACAAAACCCATTTGATCAGAGCTCAACCTCATTTCGGCTATCAAATCCATTTCAGAGCTCAAATGACCTCCTCAATGAGGGCTATACAGTGTCTGCGCAAAATGACGCCCAGATTTCCCATGTCACTGACGCTGAAAGTGAAAGCCTTTTGCTAGAAAAGCATATACTCCACAACGAACGGAATAGGAGAATGCTTGCAAATCGCTTGCCCCGCTTCCACTACACAAAACTACCGTGGTTTTCGATCCTCGTGACCACCGCCCAGGTGATCGTATTCATAGTGGAATTGGTTAAGATGGGGATTTGGACAGGCTCACCATTTCAGACAAAGCCGTACTTCAATCCAATGATAGGCCCTTCCACTTATGTTTTGATCAATATGGGAGCACGCTATGTGCCATGCATGCACAAGATTCAAGGCATAACTCTGGATACCTCAATACAGTTTCCGTGTCCAAATTCGACATCCACGGATACAAATGTGTGTAACTTAAATGAGCTTTGTGGACTAAGTGGTATACCAATCGTCGACAATGAATTCGTCCCGAGTCAGTACTATAGAATCGTGCTTCCGATCTTCTTGCATGCGGGTATCTTACATATCTTCTTCAACATGATTTTGCAGTTGACTATGGGATTGGCAGTCGAACGCAGTATTGGGTGGCTCAAATACAGCATCATATATATCGCAAGCGGTGTCGCTGGATTCCTACTTGGTGCCAACTTCTCCCAAAATGGAGTTGCGTCCACTGGGGCCTCGGGTTCCTTGTTCGGAATCATTGCAGCAAATTTTCTTTTGTTCATATACTGTGGAACAAGAAACACAAACATCTACGAGACAAAACGCTACAAGACATTTATCCTAATTATGGTCTTGGAGATTGTTGTCTCTTTTGTGCTCGGTCTTCTTCCCGGTCTAGACAATTTTTCTCATATAGGCGGCTTTTGCATGGGAGTATTGACGTCCATACTTCTTCTTCCTGACCCGTCTTTTGTTTACAAGAAGGGAGTCTACACATATGACTCTGATACGACAACGTGGAAGTCATTTGTCGACAATTGGAATCCAATTTGCAAGCTTTGGGATAAAGTTCGGTGGAAAGTGGCTCTATGGGCGGTTGCGCGAATCACCAGTTTAGTTCTTGCGATTGTCTATTTTGCACTCCTCACAAAAAACCTCAAGTCAAAGAAACAAGAAAATAACGAGGAGACCTGCCTGTGGTGCAAGTACTTCAATTGTATTCCTGTCAACAACTGGTGCGAACAAGGCGAGGTCACGGTTACTACGTCTGTTGTGTCGGCATCAACAGCCACGCCCACTAGCACATCAGGAGCACTGTCTACCACGGCGGAAGTTTTGAATCTTCCCAGCGAAATTACAAACGCCAAGAGGCTGTTCTACGACGAGGCTCTCATTGAATCATACCAAGCACACCCCAAATTTATTGTGGGTGCGAAATCTCTTGCAGCAATTGCGATGTCTGATCTGGGTTCGGTCGCGTTGCTTGTGGTGATGGCGTACATGGGCTACAATGGCGCAAGGAGGCTCAAAACTAAGATATCAGAAAAACGGAAGAGGAAGAGGGAGTCAAAGAAAAGAGTTGTCTTGTAGGCAATGCTGTTGTGATAGATTTTCAAACTCATGATCGCAGTTCATACTGCATACAGATACACACTTTCAATTTTTTCTAGCGTAAAAGAGCGGACTCGTAGAAGGTCTGTTGAACGCCGAGGCCCAAAATTTCACCTAATGATCTCCACACGTTTTCTTGGAAGAAGCATAGGCCAAAGGTCTTTTGTGACATCGCCTCGCTCTTTCTTTTTGAAAAACATCTTTGGTTCCAAGGAGTCTAAGACAAAAGAGCTCATCGAGAAGCAGGACGAATATGCCGTGGATCCAAACTCGAAGATTCTCGTCTTGAACGAAGAAAACTCCCCCTCTCACAAGGCTTTTGACCCTGAGTCTGACATTCCTGGTTTCAAGATCTCTCAGTGGAAGGAGAAGCTCGTGCTTGCACGAGACATTGAGGCATCAGTGACAAAAGAAATGGTTGCAGATGCCATCAACAAGGCATACCAGGAAAGCCACGGCTCAGAGATCAGCGCAGAAAGTTACGCTACCACGAGCCTCGGTGATTTACAAAAAAGATTTGAATTTGTTAAGATCGTGCAACAGAAACTTGGTTTCGATATCAAAGATCACACTATTTCTAGATCGCACGATGTGGAGTATTTGTATGAAGCCTTGCAGAAGCAAATAGCCCACAGATGGTCGAGTGAAAGAAACCCTAACGCTATTGTGTTGAGACCGGAGGACTTCAAGGATCAGCCAAATGTTTACTTGAACATTGAATTCAGTGAGAAGGAACAGGCGGAGATCTTTCAAGATTTGAAGAAACAGGCATTGGAGAACGAGTGATTAACATCCGCTTCAGAAATACCATGTAAATATATGAAAAATGAACAATTCGAAGTCAGACTGTGCGCTGGTATGTTAATCAGGCCGGTGCGTATTAAATAATGGGTTTGCTTCTATGTGCATCACCTTTTGTTGGAAACAACCATCACAGCTGTGAGCGCCGACGCTAAGCACAATACCCCAGATATAATTGCATAGTTTGGAATTCCAGAAATCAATTCGCCACTGGCTGGTTGAACATTATGTCCCGGGCGTCTCGACAAATCAACTGGGGCAGCCTCGTTGGGACTGTGGAGGTATAAGTCGGCCTTGTTGCTTTGGAAGTCACGATTAACCTTCACGCAATCTCTCAAGTCTTCGTTTGACGTGATGGATACCACGTCACCTTCGTCATCAATGTAGCTTATGGCATATGTCTCTTTCAGATGATCAAAGACTTTCAAAGCTTCATAATCCGTCTGGTGAAGCTTTGCATCAATGAACCTTCTTAAATCTTCAAGAGTCTCGTTGGGCTTCACGGAGACACGATGAACACGGCCACGAACTGCAGGCGACTTGAATTTGAAAATAAAAGTTTCTTCGCTGAGCAGAATACTCGAGTCGGCTGGCTTCGAGGACATACTCTCCTCTACCGCAGATATCGAGTCCGAAGGCCTAATGTCTACATTGAACAACCTAAATTCAGATGGAGTGACATCAGGTGCACTTGTGATTGAGTCTGAATGCATGGAGTCGGAGTCATCGTTGTCAAGCGAAGTCCAAAACTTGTTCCAGGCGGGACCCTCCTCTGGAGAATTGCTGGCAGAGTTTTCTGCAGAAGTCAGCTCGATCTTCTTGATCTGGTTCAATGTGGCGTAAGTTAACTTCAACACATCCACAATGCCAATTATTTCCTTGTTGTCACCAACAACAGGAAGATTCAAGAAATGCCCATCAAACATCTGGCGCAACGCCGACTGGATAGGAAACGAGTAATTGGCCACATCTGGCTGAGGCGTCATCACCCTCACAAGTGAGCATTTTCGGGGATCTAGGCCTGCGGCAATCACCCGCAACACCACGTCTTTGGAGGTGAAGATTCCCGACACCACGTCGTTGGTGTCCTTCACCAACACTGCAGTGGTGCGATTTTCCTTCATGAGCAAGGTTGCCTCGTAAACCGAGGTTTTGATTGTCGCGTATACGGGGCTGGTGGTATGATCCAACACCGACAGAAGCGTGGGCCCGTCCATCTTGGACTTCAAGCTGGCAAAGTACTCAAGTACGTACGGCGACTGGTCGGCCAAGCCGATCTCAAGGTGCACGTTGTCAAGCGCCTCATGCAATTTTTTCGAAGAAACGCTCAACTTCTCTAATTTCTCCATCTGCTGTGCGTAGGACTTGGTGATGTCGAGCACCCCGACAATGCGGTTCTGGTCATCCAAGACGGGAAGATGCCTGAACCCCTTTTCCACCATAAGGGTCAATGCCTCAGCGGCTGGGCTGTTCGAGTTTGCACATAGCGGCGATGGAGTCATGATCTGGTCGATGGTCACTGTGGTGGCACTCAATCCCGACCCCACGATTCTGAAGGCCAAGTCTTTCGCAGTGAATATGCCAATTAACTCACCGTGGTCGTTCACCACCAAAATGCAATTTTCTCTGCGGGCAGACATCAACTGCGCAGCCTCGTACACCGTTGCTGAAATCTTACAAATAATGGGCTCCGAGGGTTTCAAATACATGACTGTTCCTGGGAGCGCCTTCCCGCGACGGGACACCCGGGAGCCCAAGCTACGTTTCTTTGAAAGCTCGTGTTCAATCTTGCGCCTGATGGCATCATCTTTCTTCAGTTGGCGATGTCTTGAGTCCTGGGGACTTGGATCGGGGTTTTTGCGGAACGCAGACATTTCCCTGTTGTATGGAGAGCAGACTTCTTGGTGATTTTGTAGCGATCTCTTGATGATTTTGTAGCGATCTGTAGTTGCACGATTCGTTGTGCCTCGTGGTTGAATGCAGGTGTAGTGTGTGCGTTGTTTGGATCCCGTTAGCTGGGATGCCCTGATGCAAGCACACAAACCATTCTGGCCCTCGAACTGCATGTACGCGAGTCCGGTCCATGTGCTGGAGATGATAATTAATACGAAGAATGTATCGTAGTTCGATGAGGCTTCAAACGTTGTTTACCAGGAATACTGTATGTGATTTTTGGCCTATATATGAGATGTGAGTAAAAGAACCCGAGTGGGTCATACCAGTTGTGTAGCACAACTCTTGATTTGGTTGATAACGACGGTCTGGAAATTCTCGGCATGTCTTCTGTGAATTTTTCAGGACTCAAGATCATCTCCTTTCTTTAGGAGAAATGGTGGCTTTTATTGGAACCCGGGTTTACCGCAAGACGTGTAGGTCAAGAGGGGTGTGCAAGGCCTCACCTTACGCATGGAATATTATGACAACGAACCATTAACCAATTTCTTGGAGACTTCCATGTATAAGAATTTCAAAAGGAGTCATAAAAAAGAAACAAAACGTGCGCAAGTAAATATCATATCCGGTGTGCGAATGCTGCCGTGCCAGTGGGGAGACCCTTTCTGCGGATTTCGCGGCCATTTGCACCCGGTTCCTCAGTATTCATTGTGCCTTTCTCCAGCAAACCAAAATGGGGTTCAACGTATTCGATAAAATATTTACTATTCCCAAAAGTATAAAGCATTGTAGATTTGTCAGGCACAAATCCATCGAAATCTTGAAACAGGGCCGCATTCCCAAACATGTGGGCTTCATCATGGATGGCAACCGGAGATACGCAAAGGAAAAAGGCCTCTTTACCAAAGAGGGCCACAAAGCAGGTGCAGAAGCCCTTAAAACAGTACGTAATGGTCCCGAGGTTGAGCTGTAATTGCTCCATAACCTCATGTTTTCTCACTTGGGGCATTTACTGACTTTTCAGGCCTTGGAATCATGCTACGAAATTGGCATAAAGGAAATTTCCATTTATGCGTTTTCAATCGAGAATTTTAAGCGCCCTAAAAGCGAGATCGATGATATTCTTTCCTTGCTCAGGAAATTTCTTGAGTCTGTCTACAAAACGGCCACAGTTAGTGAGCATAATATACAAGTCCGCATCATTGGAAACAGATCCTTGATCGAACCCAGTCTCTTGGAAGACTTGGAGAAGCTTGAGAGCGAGACCAAAACGTCCAAAGTTTCTGCATACCTAAATGTGTGCTTTGCGTATACCTCGCGCGATGAAATAACTCACTCGGTCAGGGAGGTTGTGGGAAAACACCAGTCGAAAGATATCACCAAGAACGAAATATGCGAGCGCTTACTCACGGAAAATTTGTACACAAGAGACCCGAGTCAGCCTCTCGATATACTCCTAAGAACAAGCGGCCACACGAGACTCAGCGACTTTCTTTTGTGGCAATGCACTTCCAACTGCAGTATTGTTTTTCTGGACACTTTGTGGCCAGACTTCAGCTACTGGGAGCTCTACCTCATTCTTTTGAAGTGGAGTTTCGAGCAAGCCGTGATGCGCAATAGGCATCTTGACTGGGGTTTCAGCACAGTTCCTCAGTATGTCAACCTAAAACTGCTCCCTGATAGTCCTCCGTTTGCCAGCGTGGCAGAGAAAGAAAAAGTTGCCGCAGCCGCGGCCACTTAGTTAACGGTGAAGGAGCGAACCACTTTCTTCAACTCTTTTTTGTTGCGCTCCTTTATCTTGGCTTCTTCTATTCGTCTAAGGTATCCCATGTATACGACGACTTCCGCCACTAGAATAAGTATACCGAAGAAAATGCAAAGCAATACCCTGTAGCTGTCTCTAATACCCCATGACGAGTCTGTCCAGTACCAGATCGCGTAAACCACACTGGCAACACTAATTAATATATTGAACATAGTTGTGATGTGTGTTTTTGTTTCCTTATGCTGTCTTACGCTATTGAAAGGCTCATCGTGGTATTTTTGCTCGTACAATGTGTTCAATGTCGGGCTAGGGTTGACGAGTTTTTGGTACTCTTCTTCTTTGTTCCTGAGCCTTAGATCCTCCATCAATTTGACAAACAGCTCTGGTTTTGTTTCGTTTTCATTACGAGGGTTCTTATCAAGAATCACGAGTTGTGTGGTTTGAAGGAGCTCCAACATCGAAGCTCTAGGCCGATATGTGCGGTAGAATTCCACCAAGAACACATGGTCTATTGTATCCTTGGCCAAGACGTGGTCTTTCTCTGTGGTGCTCAAGCCAGAATCCTGGATAATATTGGCCAATTCTCTAGTCAATCTAAACTTAGCCATGGTCGGAATATTGCCCGTCTAGTCTTGAATGGTGCATTTAGCGCGACGCGATAACTAACCATATTCTAGGATGCGGGTCTTGCACGCAAGCTATCAGTGAAATAGTACCGAAAGATAGTAGGAGGTTATACAAAGCGAGCCTGTTTTCCTCGTTCAGCGACGGATCATTGGACGAGCTATATTCTGAAAGCCCGCAATTGCTGTGAGTCTTTGCTGCTTCTTGCAACCAGTTGTATTTCGCGGTTTTTTAAAGCCTGAGCCAGGAGGGCGGCCTTCCATGATTCCGCGCAGTTAGCGAGCGCGCTTCGAAGATACGTTGAACTCTAGAGTTGGGGTATCACTCAAAAGTCTCTCATTCACAAGAATACAATATGGCTTCTTGCGTAACCAGTTCCACCATAGTGGGTGCTTTAGCGTGCCAGAGAAACTCATTTCTCAAGACTTTTCAGACAACAGTGGTTTCCTGCAAAAAGTACGAGCCAATCAAAACCTCAAAAGATAAGCAGAACCAAAACAAGAAAAGCACTGAAAAAGAGCAAAAGTTTGAGGAATCATTGTATGCTTTGGAGCTCCAGGACACTATTCTATTTCCTGAAGGAGGGGGTCAGCCCTTTGACACGGGAAACATAGCGACGGCTTCAGAAAAGATTCCTGTGCAAATGGTGCTCCGCCAGGAATTGACTGCGGTACATGTAACACCCAAACCGGTGGAAGTAGGCTCGCAGGTTTCCCTTGAGGTCGATTGGAAAAGACGGCTTGACATTATGCAGCAACACACGGGGCAGCATTTGATATCCGCAGTGTTTGATACTTACGATTTGGAAACATTGAGCTGGTCTATGGGCGATACAATCAACTACATCGAGCTTCCCCGCAAAGTTGAGCAGAGCATCATCGATGAAGTGAGCGAGAAAGTGAATGACATGATTGTGCAGGGTATTCCAATCAAGGTGACTACGCCAGACCAGCTGGGCAGAGAAATTGACACATCCCATATTCCAGACGACTACGACTTGTCGAAAGGTATTGTAAGAGTCGTGCAGATCGGGGACATCGATTCTAATCCATGTTGTGGTACCCATTTGACCAATACTGGGCAAATTCAGGCGGTCTCATTCTTGCATCAGACAAATGTGCGCGGCGGAAATTCGAGACTCCACTTCATGTGTGGCTCCAGAGTCTCTCGTCAGCTTGCCGCATATCATCTGATGCTCAAAGATGTTCTGGGGACGCAGTTGTCATGCCAGATTGATGAAGTCGCCTCGAAGGTTGCTGACCTTAACCAAAATTACAAGAAAAGCCTGTCGAGGGAAAGCACCCTTTTGAAAGAGTTGGCTGCTATTGAAGCATCAAAGGTGTTTACGTTGTTCAGGGACACAAATGCAAAGATTGCGTCCATTTACAGACAAGACAGCTCGCCAGAATACCTCACAATGGCGCAAAAAGAGCTCACCACACTCATCAATGCAAACAAAGATGCTGGTGTAGATTTGTCCCTGGCCCACACTGTCGTGTACCTCAATGGTGACTACAAGTCCGGGAATGGAGGAATGGTGAAAATCATGGGGCCCCTCGCAGAAGAAATACAGCAGAAATTAAAATGTCTCATCAAAAACATTAAGGGGGGCGGAAAAGGTACATCGTTTCAAGGAAAAATCACCAAGTACGAGAAAGGAGAAGTCGAGAGCGTGTTGCGATACTTGGAGTCATTGGCGTTGCCCGAATAGAGACCTTGGCACAGGACATGAATATATGCTTCAAAGAATCAATCAGATGACAGGGCTTCGAAAGTCGTCTAATTTTGGTGTATATGTACAGGGAGAAGATTTAACGTTTGACCCAGGCAGGGGACTTTCTGGCCTTGACCTTGCCTGGCTTCTTTCTCTCAACGACTCTAGAGTCCCTAGTCATTAAGCCCGCCTCTCTCAACCGAGGCTTAAGCAAAGGATTGAAGACCACAAGGGCTTTGGCAATACCGTACATGGTGGCCTCGGCCTGGCCGCTGACACCTCCACCGTGAGTCTCAACAAAAATATTGTACTGGCCTTCTTGGCTCACTACTTTGAATGGAAATGCAATCTTCAAACGGTCAGTGTCTCTGGGAAAGTATTCAATAAAGGACCTTCCATTGATGAGCACCTGGCCATCACCTTTTACCATGGAGACAGAGGCCACAGAAGTTTTTCTCTTGCCCACGGTGAGGGCTCTACCAAACTCATCCAAAGTCTTAATCTTTTTTTGCAGCTCCTTGCTTGTGTCTCCACCTGAAGATAAATATTGCTTCAACAATTCGCTCACTTCTGCGGGCATCAATTCTGGCTGGATGCTTCTCAAACGGCCCAACGCCCCGACCAACGCCTTGTGATGGCCGACCTTAACACGTGCCCCTGAGTTCGCAAGCTTCTTGTACTCAGCAAGGGTGATAAATTTGAGAAGATTTGACTCCTTAATATCGATGACTCTAGTCGGTAAGTCTTTATACTTCTTAATCATGGCGTTCAACTTGTACATGTTGTCATCGTGAACAGGGTTTCCGCCATAAAATGCACTAGAGGTAGGCACAACTCTCATTCTCTCGAGCTCCCAGTCGTGGAAACGAGTGGTCACATGGGAAGCGCTGAATCTGCTCACCTTAACAGCATTCAAAGGAACAGAAGGCCGATCACTTGACATCGACGATATTTGCTGTGGCTGGGGCAAGCTGGGGCTCGAGTTCCGACTGAAAATTCCCAGAGAAAAAAGTCGTTGATGAAACTGTATTTGCCCTACGGCCCTTCTCGAGATCATTTCGGTGTTGTCTGCCTGGGCTCTATTGGTGCTTTCACCTATACCCTGGCCATAAATTTTTCAGAACGTGCAATAATCAAATTCGCTCGGTGGTACGGGTGTTTACCATAGACAGTAAGAAACACCACTGTATGAGACTGCGAGGCATAATCATCAGCTTACGTCACGAGAGAAAGATTGTTTGTATGATTTATTCGGACCGAAAGATTTGACATTTGATCATTAAAATAATATTATGTCACACATCGATATTGGGCGGGCAAGGCGACAGTCGAAGTATAAAGGATAATTAACATAGATGGTCTCAGAGCTGGTGTAAGATGAACAGATATGTGCAATAGTTGAGGAACTGCCACCACAGAGAGATGAAATAATCAGATGCAAGCTTATCCAAGTAATGAGTTGATACTGTTATTTTTTCTGTCCACACTCGTGTCAGCCACGTGTGCAGGTGCAGGCGACGAGGGAGCATTCAAAAGCGACGAGAGATTATTCGTTCGTTGAGATGCATGGGAACTGGACTCTCGGTTCTTGTGCGGCGTTGCTTCATTGTTGAGTAGACTCTTGATTGATGGCTTTTGAAGATCAGCTTTAGTCGCCGCATCCTCCAATTTTATTTCAATTGAGCCACTTGATCCTTCAGGTAGGGGATCGGAACAATCTGAAACAAGACCATTGATCGTAGCTGAGTCTTTATCCCACGAACTCGCCTCCTGGTTTTGAAAAAGTGTAGCACCATTGATTTCGCCGGAAGTATGAACATGAATTATGGGTGCTTTCTTAGATACTTCCCTTAAACCTGGAGTCTTTTGAATTTCTTCCCTCGATTTTTCTTTGTGGATGTCATCTTCTTTTAGTTGTTGATCGGCAATAGAGACTAAATCAACCCAGCCAAGCTTTTCAGCGTTTCTTTGGTAGTAGTTCTTCACCATTGTACTGCTTTTCGTGGATAGCTCTGCGGCAATATCTGACCATCTCGATCCATAGGTGTTCAATAGATGGGGGAAACTCTCGACCTCAGTGATACTCCAATAGCTAGTTATGTGTTTGAGAGACTTTTTTTCATCTCCCCCACTGGATTCGTCCAATACATCGCTAGATGATATGATAGGCGCAACATGTGCTGTTTGCGACTCTCCTGAAATTTGAAGGTTTTCGGAAGCAGTCAATACCGGCTTTTCATCGGATATTTTTGTCTCCATTTCGCGTTCTAGAAAAACATTATGGTCCGTCTTTGAAGGACCTCCTAGGCTAAACTCGAGCCGTGCTTTCTTTCTTTCTGGTTGCTCTAGATTCTCATGGTCGCTATTCTCTTCATCGGCCATCTTCTCGTCTATGTCTTCGATTTTACCCTCGGTGAGAGGTATAATTTCGATCCGCGGATCCACATGGGTGCTTTCACCTTGAGTGGATACCCCATTACTCGCGGCTGAAGGAAGAATCTTGGACTTCACTTTCTTTTTGCGACGCGCGTTTTTGTTGGACGCCTTTTTCTTATACTGAGATACCAAAAGCTTGTAGTTGACCGCCTTTTTGGTGATATAGTAGTGCATAACGCATTCGCCAAAGGTACGAATACCACCCATACATCTGGATATCTCACCAAATCGTTTCGGAGATCTGCAAAAGGCGTCGCAGAACAAATCATGTTCAGTCTCAGTAAAATTAGTCTCAAAGTCCGTATTAATGCGTTTCTCCCAACTCGATTTGTCGCGCACAAAATTGTTCGAGTTCATGAATTTGAAAGCGTGTCTTTCAATGGGATCCAAGATAAGATCCGGTATTTCTGCAGCAACGTGGCGTGCCCGCGCCACGGGATCGTCGTTTTGTTCGTTTTTTAAACTTCGAAGAATTTCCTGGAACTCCGCTTCAGTTGTCACTGAATCACCATGACGGCGACCACGGCGTCCTGTTTGAACTGGAGGATCAATTGGAGCAATTTCAACTTCTGGTTCTGGGTTTTTCACACGAATATCGATTGCCTCAAGCTCTTTTCTCGCCTCTTCATCATGTGGATGAAGTATTTTGAGTTGCTCTTCCATAAATTGTCTCCGTCTCTCACTTTCAGCTGCCAATGCCTTGTACTTGCAAATTAACACGAGTTTTCTCTTTTTCAACTCGCGACTGTTTTTCTTTAAAATATGCAAATAATTCTCGTGAAAAACAGAAAAGCGCTTTAAGTTATAGGAGTAAAAGGGAAATTGAGAAAAAATTGTCTTCCCGCATGCAAATGATGCTGCCTTCTGAAGGTACTCTGTATCTTGGGGTAAAAGCGACTTCAACTGATGATATTCAGATTCTAGTTTCGATTGTGGGTATATGCACCCATCGGGGTACTCGATAGCGGAACTTGTGGCGTCTTCGCTAGCAAGCAGTAACCCATCATGCATTTGGGTGTCTTGATAATTACTAGAACTCAGAGTCTGTTTTGGAATTTCGGAGATCTCTGAATGAATTTCGTGTTTTTCTAGATTCGGCAATTTCTTTGGAACTGCGATTATTCTTTCTAGCTCAACCGAAATTTTTTCATCTTTGTTGGGTACTTCTTCTTCTTCTTCTTCTTCTTCTTCTTCTTCTTCTTCGTCGTCGTCGTCGTCGTCGTCTTCATCGTCATCGTCATCTTCTTCTTCTTCTTCCCCTTCATCCTCGTCATCATCTCCTTCTATGTGATCTACCTCTGGCGCATTGTGCGTTGTCATGGAGGAATCGTCGCCTGTATCAGTTCTATAATAGCTTTCACTCAGAGGAGACGCCAGTTTAGCATGGTACTCTCTAGTATTCGCACTGGTAGTTCTGTGACTTCTAGAATCCAAACTTTCACTATAACGCCCTCTATCGAATCGATCATGGGAATTGAAAGTTCTATGTGAGTAATATGCATCAGAGCGCTTGGATGATCCAACGCTATTAGTTAAACCAGAACTTCGTATTCTCTCTTTAGGTGTGTTAAATCTCGCTGCTTGGCCAGATGGTCCTATGGGGCCGCTGCGCTCATTTCTGTCAATTCTGGGAGGGGAATATGACTTCCACCTGCCAGAGCTAGAATCATCATATGAATCATGATGTTCATTGTGATAGTCATTAGATACAGATGATGATAATACATTCAGGCCAGTTCTGGAGCTGAGCGGAATGCTATTGGGATTAAAACGAGACAGTCCAGGAGACTTCCCGCCATTGGCATTGTGCAGTTTTGGCCTCTCTGCACGGCTCCAAGACTCTCGTGAGAACCCTGGTTTTTCGGGTCGTGTTGACGAGCCATTCACCATATCTCGCGAACTAGAGTCGCGAGAGGTCGAGTAAGCTGAACTCATTTCGTTTTCAGCTCTTTTGGCGCTGCTGAAAGAACCGTAGGCTCCGCTAGTACGATCCTGATGGTAGTTCGATGTGTACGGATACTTGGTACCATAAGAGGCGTATCTCGCATCCTTAGAATAGCTATTCTGACGAGAGCCGTTGAGATTACTGGAATTTCCAGAGGGGACTGAGTCGCGATATCGCGATCTTGGGGCAAATTCGCTATTCCCGGCGGGGTCCCCTCGTAGAGAAGGTTTTGAAACATATGCCAGACCGGTGCCAGCTGGAGTGGGCAATGCCAGGGGTGAGTGTGACGAGCTTTTGAAATCTCGCCTTGTCAGGGAAGGGAAAAAGCTTTTTCTTCGTTTTCCGTGATCACTTTCGCTCCCGTACCGATTCGAAGGACCCGAATTTCGGGGACTTGAAGACATTGTAGACGGGGTTTTCTGTGACTAATTTCTCAATGCAAGGCTTGTCTTCTTTGGTTCAGACGCGTGGGATAAAACCAATGCACTCCAATGGATGCCTATACAATGTGTGCTCTAGATCTCTATGTGCAACGTCTAAGAGGCTTCTTTTGTTCTAAGGATTAATGACTTTAGGGTCTAGACGAAAACGCTAGAGAATTTGTGTTCGCGAGGAATACCCATCTTCGGGTGCTGAGCATCACGTGATCCCGAGGGTCCCACTAAAATAACATCCAGCATGCTCAAGTGCTGGTCTAATCTGCACAAATTTCGTCTGGAGCGGGTATGACAACAACAGCCGATGTGAAAATATTTAGGATGATGTGTTTAATAATGCAAATGTGTGATTAATTTTATGTAGCACGCGACATTATCTAGGCAAGGAGTATTTTTTTTAAGATCCCCACATTTTCGCTACTCTTGAGCATGTCCGTGTATGAGACATTCGGTTGAATTTTTCTGTTTCCATAATCCACGGCTCCGGAGGATGACCCCTGTACAGAAACTGTGATCGCCAGCGCTGATTCTAACGCGCTGATTATGTCCAAGAATTCGCCCTTCCTGATCTTGCCGAGCAAGTTTTCCACAACCTCCAATGTATACTTGCAGTAATAGTCGTAAAGCTGATTTACACTGAGTGCTGAGCTTGACTTGGCGTTTTTCTCCAGGTTGAAAAGACAGCATAGTACGGCCTTCTGCAACAAATTCAAGTTGGAAATTCTCTGCTGGGACGAGTCCCCAAATGCAGATGTGCAAACCTTCGCTACGTGCGAAATTAGAACTTTGGGTGCATCTTCCATGGTCAACGCACCGAAGTCCTCTCTTTCTTTTGCCTGCTTTTCCACGAGCTCGATACTTTTGTAGCAAATATCGAAAGCCTTGCGCAAGTCTCCAGTCACAGTGGCACATTTCTTGCAACACATCTGAATGGCAACTGGATGCATGAGAAGAGTCCTCGTCGTCAGGTTTTCCTTGTCATGATCGTTCAATGACTGTAGCTTCGAGATCACGACCTGCTTGATCTGCTCGGCAGAATATGGCAAAAACTGAAGAGCTTCAGGGTTGAAGCCATTGCTTCGGAGACGAGGCAAGAATTTGTCTGTCAAATCCAATGCATTAGAAATCCCCACGATGATAAGCTTTGTCTGAAGAGCCGAGGTTTTCAAATGAGAGGCACAGTGAAATAATTGGAAGAGAACCTGCTGGTCCTTGGTGATGAGGTAGTCCATCTCGTCAAGAACAACAACGAGAGCTTCTGTCTCAGATCCTGAAGCCAAAGCTTCGTAGAGGTTGTCGAAACTTTTCTTTCTTCCTGAAGACTTGCCTGCGATGGAATTATGTAGTTCGTGGAATATATCCTCTGGCTTTGTCACCGTCATGCAATTAACATGTAAGACTCGAGTCTTTGTGCCGTAGATTTCGTGGGTCCCATCTGTGGGGCCACTACATAGATCTTTTAATGAAAGATGAGTCTGTGCTGTTTTTCCCGTTCCAGGAGGTCCGGAGATGTATATGCTGTTGCAGAGTTTGTTTCGAAGTGAATTTTCAAGAAATGAATTGAGTTTCGAAGCCTCCTGCTCTCTGCCTGTCAAGTTGATCTGATCATCATTCTGAGCACCTCTTTGAAAAAGTGCCTTTGCCTTAGAGTATACAGAGTCTTGGAAAAAATTAAGTTTTCTACCGTGTCCGACGATGCTCAGTGAGATATCAATTGCAGATCTTTTGACGGGAGAAGGCTCAGGTGTACACAAATGAACATTCACTCTAGGTTTAAGCGCTTTTCTCTTGGTTGTTGGGAGTTCATGATCGAGCGTTCTTTTGGTGGGGGAAAGCATACTTCAGAGTGGTGTGAAGCAAGTAACAGGAGCAATATGGAAGCAACTATTGTTCTTTGGATAGGTATTGAAAAGCAAGTTCCAAAGACTGGTTGATTTTTTCTGATTTCACTTAGGAAAGGAGCGGTTGTAGTGAGAGTGAGGAAATGGGGAATCTTAAATTGCATCGGTGAATCGCGCATGGCGAATCGCAGATCATAAGGCATCTCCTTCGACGCGTGTCATTTACGCCAAGAAGGGAAATGTAATGGACCGCGACGCGGGTGGCTGGCTGAAACCCATTTGATACCTCGCGTAGACATACAAACAACTCATATGATAATCTTAAGACAGGAAATAAATGTGTATGAGATTCAGAATACCGGATTCCCAGAGTACTTTGGTTAGGGACACAAACAAAATTTTGGTCAGTATAGAGTTGTGAGAAAGCTCATCTTCCAATCAGAGGCGACGTCGACCTTCGGAGAGGGCACAACAAATGTTTGGACCCAAAGCCTTCGGAAAATTTCATTACAAAATTGAACTGATAAACAAGAGAGAACTTCCCCTAAAAGTATATGAAATTGTGTAGGTACACTAGACTCTCAATTTTGATGCATTGGTCGAAAGTAGACCATTGAACATAGGAGTGGATACGCGCGACTATGTAATTCGGCATTTCGCACCTAACTATTGAGACAGGTGATGTGGATTCAAAACCAACAATTCTTTCTCCCACACTTGCCCAAATCTGACTAAGGAAGATCATATATATCGTCTGCTTTATTCTCTGGTGCAAAGATCCTAATCGCCCAATTACATCTGGATTGGATTGCTTTGCCGGTCATGTCTGATTTGCCTACCCAGCTTAAAGGCTCAGTGTACTTAGGTGTAGCAAAAATGGTGGAGGAGCATTGCCAGGATCTTGGAATTACTGCAAGCCCTTCTTTCGTTGCATCTCTAGTCGAATTGGTATACAATCAAATTTTACTACTAGGTGAAGATTTGGAGCTTTTTGCTGAACATGCTGGAAGATCAACTATCAACACTTCTGACATGTACATGATCACACGCAAGAATGAGATCCTCGCCACTGCATTGAAAGAATATGAAAAAAACTTGAAGCGTTGACGGTCTGCAGCTTTCGACTGACAAACCCAACTTACTCGCAAACTTTTGCTCGTCGCAACAATGCACACACGATACACAACTGAAGAGATCCTCCGCGCCAGGAAACAAGAGATTTTCGATTTGTCACATGTGTGAGATGTAGTCCCAAGGCAATGCTTTCTCTCAATACAGCATTGTCAACTCGCTTCAATCTATAGAAGCTGCCTACTGGAATCAACTACAAACGCGAGAGTGGTAGATATGAGGGGCCTGAAATTGGTGTATTTGGCTTGGGCCTGGTAAATACTGTAGGTCAGCACCATTCTCTAGGTATTTCTCTATGTACTGACGCGAAAATTGAAGTAGAAAACAAGATGGATTTCCGTAGTGTGGCCGTTGATCAAGGTTTCGCGCTGCGGGTGTCTTCTTTCCCCTATTGCGGCGCCTTCGGCATTGCCTCCGCACTCTTCTACGTACGAGGAGCCCAACATATCAACCCGAAATTAGCAAGTCACAACTTCACCTCCAAAAATGGCACACCCCCGAAAAGGTCTATCATACGTGCTAGGAGACACTAGCGAGAAGGAGAATCATATTCTCCCCATAAATGCCATGCAATTTTCAAAGTCCCGACAGCAGTTGTACACCGCTAGTCGAGACGGCACAGTCAAGGTTTGGGGAGCCACGGAGCAAACACCAGATTCAAAATCTGGCATTCCCGTGGACGAAGACGTATACTATGACGATCTGCAAGATGTTGCTGAAACAATCTTGAAGCTAGAGACCTCACTTTCGTCATCCCCGCTCGGCTATACACTGCCTACATCCACCTATGACCCACTTATCACCAGAAGTTATAATGTTCATTTCGATTGGGTGAACGACTTGAAGCTTGTGAATAATGACCGTAACTTGGTCTCCGCGAGCGCAGATCTATCCTTGAAGTTGATAGACATAGAAGGTGATGAACGGCATGTTCAAAAGTTTCAAAATATTCATACCGACTATGTCAAGAAGATCTCGTCCATACCGCTGCAGAATTCACTCGTCAGTGGTGGATTGGATGGGAAGGTTGTGGTCTGGGATATGAGCCGGCTTGCTCCGGTGCTCAACTTCGAAAATAACTCTACGGGGCTAAATTTCACCAGTTCTATCTACGCCCTTTCTAACGATGACGGATACTTGATTTCCACTGGGGGTCCCAATAATACCATCAACTTGTATGACCGGAGGATACCTATTGATGGAAACGCCAATCTCATTCGAAAGTTGGTGGGACATCAGGATACTATAAGGTGTCTCTTGATGAATTCTAACTTCATCTTAAGTGGATCCTCTGATAGTACAATCAAACTCTGGGATCTACGTAATTTCAACGTATACAAAAATTTTGATGTCCATGACGACGCTGTTTGGTCATTGTGCACAGGTGCTTCGTCCGATCCAGGATCAAGCTCTATCACTGATTTCAAAGAGTTTTATTCGGGCGATAAAGCGGGAAATATCATCAAGACAGATTTAAACTATCTTTCAACACATTCCAACTATGAGGAAGACGACCGCTTCTTTAATTCTACGTTCATGTGTTCAGATCAAGCTTACATAGACGAGAAGATCGGATTGTGTACCCTTGTCGCAAAAGCTTCATCCCCGATCATTTCTCTCTGTGTTGAAGGCGAAAATTCGATATTTGCATCTTGTTACGATTCCTTGAAACGCTTTAATATTCCAAAGACTAAGGATTTGGCCAAATATCAATACCTTCGTGCATGTCTGGATCACTCGGACTGTCTAGATAGAAAGTTTGATGATGATTCTAACCCAGGGCTAGATTCACCAGTCAACCAGTCTGACCTTGATTCTGATTTTTACGACATTATCAGTCATCTCACAACGGATTCCACGAACATTGATATCGCATCGTCCGTCTCGGGTACTTCTCGGGCTTTTCTGCCACATACTCAAGAAACGAATGAATCCGATAATGAAACACAATATACATCTATGTTTCTCAACATAACTGGAGGTCCATCCTCAGAATATGTCAATGCCTACAAAGACGAACTCCTTGATGAAACTGTTGAGTTTAATCCGAATCGATTTGTGGATGAAACGCCAATCGAAATGCTTCTTAACCCCATTCCCTCCGATCAAATTCTCACCATCCCATTTAACAAAACGCCATTCCAAGAGTTTTGTGTCACTCCTAAATCAATTAGCTCAAAAAAAATGTTCAAGAACAAGAGACAACTAATCGCATTATATGTGAACGGTGATATAAAAATTTGGGATATTTTCATTTGTAAAATTGTCAAGTTGGTTCCTTTTGGAGGTGTCTCAAGGCGTCTTAAAGATGACGAGCTTAAATCGCGTTCAAAGGAAATGGATCTTATCTTTCAACTGAATCAAACGAACGAGGTGCTCACAAATTGGTGTGAAGTTTATATAAGATCAGGAAAACTCTTGGTAACTCTCTCGGAGACTTATATCGGCAATGTTGAAATCTACTACGATGAGCTCGTGAAAGATTATCCGTTTTTGAAGGCAAGTGAGGATAGCAGCCAAAAAAGTTCAACCGTGGCAAAAACCTTGGTTATTTCTAACGACACCCGCTTTTGGCTTGGCCGGATATTTCTCACCTCACTTTTTCAGAAGTATTGTCAATTTGAATGGGAATCTGATAAAAGACTTCGAGAAAGTATGAGAGATTTTAGGGAAAAATCGGGAACAAATGTGCCAGTTCTCAATGGTGACTCTTCCTCGACTGAAGGCGAAGATATACCCAAGCGAAAGAAATTATTTTCAAGAGTTTCCTCCACAGTGCCTCGTGTCAAGATTGCCGTATCTCCCTTGGCTTCTACCGGCGGTAATATAACCGGGGGAATAGAAGCATATACATGTGATAGACTTCCAGCAAAGGTTCCTCATGATTCAATTGCCAAAATGCTAATGTCCAATGAACACTTGTACAAAGAAAAGTACAGTACACATGGACAAAAGAACTGTGTGGACTCATTCTTCTCACTTTATAGTGACGAGAGAACTTTGAGAGAAGGAACTGACGACGAATATAGGCCGCTTATTCCAGACAGCTATTTTCCAGAAGACCTTCTCATCATTGTTTATGAGACTTCTACAGATTTGGGTAACTTCAGGGACCTTTGCAGTTTTCATTTGGGCGATTTAAAACAACTTGAACATTGTGACGTCACTGTTGAAAACCAACTCGTCAATCAATTAAGGTATAACATACCCAAATGGATAGGAACACCCATACTTTACAACAAGTTTCCGGTGAAAGAACAACCAAAGATTTCTTTTCATTTAATAGAAACGGATTATGCACTGCTCCCAGCAAATATGAAAATCGGAGGCAAATCGCAGAAAAAAATCAAGAAGCTTCCCGCTATAGAAACCACCATCAAGCTCTCGTCGCACAGTATGCTCCGAGTTGGAAAAATCCTACAGTTTCTAACCGAAAAGTTTGAATCCAGGACAACGGAAATGAAAATGAAGAAACCAGCTACGGAATGGCTACTGTTGGAGTGTAAGGGCCAGGAACTCGATGCTAAAATGACGTTACAAACAATCAAGACACTTATCTGGAAATCGGGAACGCAGATTGAATTATACTATCATCGCAAATTCGACTAACATTCAATAAGTGAGGTATATTTTTGCAACTCCGATCCCCGCGCACTCATTGAGACATCTGGATTATGTCTAGACTTTGCAAATATAGGATGTATACGATCAAACGCTCAGTTCTAAAACCAAAAAAAAACCGTAAGTGAGGATAAATACACAATCGTAGTTCAAAAAAATAATTGCATACTGATCAGATGTTCCACCTCATCTTACTACCTCGCAATTATCTCGCAATTTCCGTATCACCAGTACCGGGCGACCGTTCCGCCTCGCTCACAGCGGCGTGCGATGCACAATAAAAGTTTGAGATGAGCGGATTTGGTGATATTCATCGTGCAGAACCCACCAGAACCAAGGACAACACAGCACGATGGAAGACGTAGATAGAGCCACCTCCCGCTTGTGGAGAACCTTCAAGACCGTCAAGTAAATGGTCAGGGACAAAGGCTACTTCATCACAGACGATGAAATTAACATGTCGTTGGAGGAGTTCCGGGCCAAGATCTGCCCCATGGGCGACGCCCAGAGAAAGTTGATGTGTTTTCAGGCCCAGCCCACTGCTGAGGCAGCCGAGAAATTTCCTGAAATGGGCTCATTGTGGGTAGAGTTTTGTGACGAGGCGTCGGTGGGTATCAAAACCATGAGAAACTTCTGTATTCACATCAGCGAGAAGAACTTCAGCACAGGCATTTTTATCTACCAAAATTCCATAACACCAAGTGCAAACAAATTGATCCCGACGGTGTCCCCTGCCACAATCGAGGTGTTCCAAGAGAGCGACTTGATTGTCAACATCACGCACCACGAGTTGGTGCCCAAACACATCCGCTTGTCAAAGCCAGAGAAAAAGGAGTTGTTGGAGAGATATAGATTGAAGGAGTCACAGTTGCCTAGAATTCAGAGGGAAGATCCTGTTGCTCGCTATTTGGGTTTGAAGAGAGGAGATGTGGTGAAGATCATCAGGAGATCTGAGACGTCAGGTCGTTATGCATCGTACAGAATTTGTTTGTAAAAAAAGACACTATGTAATATAGCAGAAAGAAAAAAATCAAAGGGAATATTTTTTGCAGCAATGGCGCCTGAAAAACTGTAGATTTAGGCAGAATGTGGCAATAACCGCCCTGCCACAACACTATCTCTCTGACCCTTCCACCAGTCCACATCCACAAGCCTTCTTTCTATGGCGGGACTGACTTCCACACCATTTCTGCCCAAAAAAACCGGCCCCACTGTGATCACAACTGAGTCCACCATTGAGCTTTGTATCAAATCGTTGATTACAACGGCTCCACCTTCCACCATGACTGACTTTATACCCATGTTGTGCAAAGCATTGAGCACGAGCTCCCAATTATTAGCTCTGTTCATGCGATCGAAGGGAAGTCTACAGAACGCACCATCTTGAGAATTTAGGATGTTTTCAGTTTCCGTGGATATGTTCACGTCATTGCTTACCAAAATCAACGGGGCCAATCCTTGGCCCTCAGCTCGGAGCTTGCAAAGAGTGGAACTTGTATAGTCCCATTTTCCGGATGGATCAACAACAACGGGGCGAATCTTGTATGAATTCCCATATCGGCAATTGAGTTTTGGGTCATCTGCCAACACTGTGCCCACGCCGACCAAGATGGCGTCATGGCATGCTCGAAGATAGTGCGTCATGGTTTTCGTTTCAAGATGCGAAATTTTGGTTTGGACGCCGGGCCGGCTCGCAATTCGAGAGTCGAGTGACTGTGCCCATGTCAATGTGACAAAAGGCCGATCATCTTTTGGGACTGGGAGGTAAGGTTTTAGGAACGGTACTAATGAAGCATTGAGGGGTAGTAGAGACATGACTCAATGAATATTGTAGGTGATGTGATCCAGCCATGACCTACGTGAGAATGTCGCGTCTGCAACGAAAGTTCGCGATTAAATAGCGAAGATGTTTTTTGCCAATTTCCGGATGAACCTGGAAATCCCTAGTGTTCTCCGAGTTACAAAATCTGATTCCACGAATTACTGAATTTTGTGGGAATCTCCAGATCACATGTGTGCTACAAATATTCGAAACAATTCGAAAAGCATTGCAGCCAAGGAATAGGGGTTAAAAAACAATGCAAAAGCCCTGAAGCATATGATGAAATTCACACACTCTTTCATTAGATGTGTTCGAGAAATTTACTTCTGGACTCATGTCGCATATCAAAGAGAATCTCTCTGATATATACAAACTTAAAACGCTTAGAAGTGTATCATGCTAAATGGGCCAAAAACATAGAACTGTCAATCATGTTCTCTTGACTTTTGGAAGCATCGTTTGACTTCATTTTAATAATTGACTGTTTTTAGTTTGGAGGAAAAGGTTCCAGAATCTGCAAAATCCACCAAGATAGCAAATTCGTTCAGGAGGGAAGTTCTTTCGAGTCAATATTTTTTACCTGCATGAGTTCAGCCTTTACATACAAGGTTTCAACAACTGATACATGTAAATTGCAAAATAATGGAAGTGGATGACGCCCAGTTGACTAATTGATTATTTCCATCTCGCTTCAGCTTGAGACCATTTGTTTCCTTCGTCCAATACCTATGAGAACTAAATCTGCTCTCGAGAGCAGTTTAAATAATTATAAGAGGTATGTCAGGACCCTGTCAATGGTAATAAAGATGCCCCATGAAGTTCTTATCAAGATACATGGATATTAAACACGTCATACAGCTTGCGAGAGCGCACTAACAAATTTTCAGGCAGTTTAAAACTGTGGTGGATCACTTTGACAGGAAAATTCCCGCAACAAGCTGAAATTATGAAATCGTAATGAAATGTGAATTGAAGAACGAAACCTTCACTGCTCATTACAAATGACTACTTGGGAAAGTGAAATTATGTTGTATTTGCCTGCGGATTAGTATTACATTGTTTACCATCATAGACGTTTTCCAACTTTTTCAAAGCAGTTTGTGGTGTTAAAATATTGGACACTCTTCAGTTGAAGTATGGTGTGCGTGACGTATCTCGAAATAAATTACAACGTTTCAGTAGATTGTGGAAGATCTATAACCTGTCAAAGCCAAAAAATCCTCAATACCCCCTTTTGCTCCCATGGCGGTCTATATGAATTTTTGCCTATTGTTTTATTTCATGCGCATGCAACAAAGGTCTAGATGTTCACCGTGAATTTGGTCTCCTATTTCAACTTGGAACCCAACATGTCAAAACTGCACCGTAACGCACCCAAACGCGAAATACAGAGCCAACGAGACCCAAACCAGCGTGGCTTATGACAAATGGTGAAATTTTATGTCTTCACTTGGAACAGTTCCAGTACATGAAATGAACAAAAGAAGTGTCCGAAAATTCAGGGCTCGCACTCTAGTAATCGCTTGTCTTTTCCTTAAAATTCACGCATGGCAGAAAATCTAGCTCGAGGTAACGGATTGGTAATTCCCTGCACTGGAGAGCCGGACGCGCAAAAGCTTGTTATTTTTTCCAGGATGTCGAGCATAGTTGTTTTCTCTCCTCCAGTAACACGTAAACAACGCAATGTATTCCGTGGAAACCCCGTTTTTGATTGAGTTGTGGCCATTATTTGATGCTGCTGTTACTAAGGCATCTGGAGGCCGCTTCGTGCCCTCGCAATTTGAGTTCGTGCCCCACCAGACGGCTTTTTCGTCCTTCCCTGTTGTTATTGGAGCCATCGCCGTATACTATACGGTGATTTTTGGCGGCGACTACATCTTCAAGAAATTCAAAATCAAGCCTTTTGTGTTAAATGGCTTGTTTCAGATTCATAACTTGTTTCTTACAACCTTGTCGCTCACTTTGCTCGTGTTGATGTGTGAAGAGCTCATTCCCATGATTTACAAGTATGGTCTCTTCTACGCTATCTGCAATCGTAACGCCTGGACCCAGAAATTAGTTACCTTGTACTATTTGAATTACTTGACCAAATTCTGCGAGTTCATAGACACTGTTTTCTTGGTTGTCAAGCAGAAAAAATTGACGTTCTTGCACACTTACCACCATGGTGCTACTGCTTTGTTGTGTTACACCCAGTTGATTGGCTTGACGCCGATTTCGTGGGTCCCAATCACTTTGAATTTGTTTGTGCATGTTGTGATGTACTGGTATTACTTCTTGGCCGCCAGAGGTATCAGAGTCTGGTGGAAAGAGTGGGTCACCAGGCTTCAAATCATTCAGTTTGTCTTGGACTTGGGCTTCGTGTACTTTGCTACGTACCAAAAAATTGCGCATGTCTACCTTTCTAAATTGGGTGACTTTCCTTACTGTGGTGACTGTGCCGGCACCATGCTCGCTGCTTTCTCTGGATGCGGCATTTTGTCTTCCTACCTTGTCTTATTCATTGCGTTCTACATTCATGTTTACAAAAGAAAGGCTTCCAAAAAGGCCAAGGAGGTCAAAGCAGTCCCAGGCGGTGTCGCTGCTCAGGTGAATGCGTACGTGCATGCCAGCGGTAAGTCCAACTCTCCTGCACCAGAAGGTCTCCGTAAGAGAAACTAATGAGACTCCAAGATCTCGAGGTATCTTCTTATATATCCTTAATATTCCATGCAATATCCGCATGGACACTATGACCTAATTTTATATCATCTTGTTCACATCCTCAAAGTGTGGTATACCCTCTGCTGCGCCTTTTTTTTGAATGGCCAATCCACTGGCTGCCGTAGCGAATTTGATGGCGACTTCAATGTCTTGCCTGTCACTGAGTTGCAGAATTACACCACCAAAAAACGTATCGCCCGCTCCCGTTGTATCAATGACATTGTCAATTTTTTGTGATTGAACAAAGCTTGCCTCCCTTGTTTTACTAGCAAACACACTGCCTAAACTGCCCATCGTGATAATCACTGTGCTGATGTTTTGTTGGTCTAGTTGAGTCTGAAGCTTTTGGGCTAGAGAGCCATACCCTTTAACCTTGTCTTGCAGAATTGTATTATGGAATTGTGACATTTCTTCCTCGTTGAGAATGCAATGAGCAACGTCCAAAGCTTCACCTTCGTTGACTATAAGGAAGTCAATTTTGCTTAGTGTCTCGCTCGTGATGTAGTTTCTATTGAACGGAGATGGATTATAAGCAATGTTGATCGTAGGCTTGTGCGATTTTATCCATCTAATGGACTCAAGAGTGTGTGGAAACTCATTTTGTAAGATAACAAAATCACCCTCGGTGCTTGAATCTTCAAAGAAGGTTTCAAATTCTTCACAAGTAGGCTTTAAATCCCCATTGGCACCTGCAGTAATCAAGATTCTGTTCTCGCCAGAGGTCTCCACTAGAATTACTGCAACGCCAGAGGATTGGTTCTTGATAGTTCTCACATATTTGGTGTCAACATTTGCATCCACAAGTGTTTGTTTAAGCTCCCGACCAAATGCATCTGCGCCAATGTTTCCGATCATTCTCACATCGGAGCGACCATTCAGAGACAATCTCGCGCAAGCAAGGGCCTCATTCAATCCTTTTCCCCCGAGGTGATTTTCAAAAGAATTAGCCTGTAATGTTTCTCCACCTTCTGGAACTTTGTCGGTGAAGGTTACCAAATCGTAATTGAGAGATCCAATGATGGTGATCATTTTTTGTGAGGGAAAGAGTGGGCGAGGAATTTTGCAAGTTGCTCGCTCGTGTCTGTTCATCAAAATGTGGAGTGTGCATATTTAAAACAGCTCGTTGAATAGGGGAAGTATGTAGAGATATGATGTTGATGGTTTTTTTTTTTTTAATTTCGTTTCTGATGAAGATTTTTGAATTCCTAGAAATGAAGTACTTAAGCAAGGTTGCCTTGTCTCTTCAACCTCAATTTTTCGGTAAAAGTCAATGGCTTGGGAGGGGTTTCGGATGATTGCCTAGCTGGGCTTGCAGCGCTTGCAGCGCTTGCAGCGACAGGTGGGGTAGGAGTGCTTCTACCGGCATTGACTCCTCTAGCTTGCATCTCGGCCTGCATCTCCGCTCTCTTCTTTGCAAGCTCGGCATCTTTCTCTTTCTGTTGTCTCAACTCCTCCTTGAATCTCGCCAACTCTTCCTCCTTGGCCTTTTGACGTGCTTCCTCCTCAGCAGCAATTCTCTCTCTCTCGCGCCTGTTTCTCAATTCCTCCATGCGCTGCTCCTTCACTTGTCGAATCCGAGCGGCCTTGGCCTTCTCTAATTCAGCCTTGGCATGAGCCTTCAATTGAGCAACTCTAGCTGCATTTTGCTCGTCAATAGTATGCTTGTAAGATTCGTAGTCCGGAAGAACACGGGACAAACGCTCTTTCAAAGATGTAGAGTTTTTGAACTCTTTCCTCGCCTTCTCGATCTTAGCTTGCTTCAAATCTTCGTAAGTTTGGGCGTCCCTCTCCTTCTGGGCCTCCGCGTCCTGCTCCAAAAGCTTCAATTCATATTTTCTTTGAGCTCTCTCCATGTGGTCAACCTTCTTGAACACCACCTTCATCTTCGCTTCCAATACTTTTCTGTCCTTGTTCAATTGGTCGACTTGCATCTGTTGCAACTTCGCAGAATCCAACTTCTCCAAGTCGTTCAAGTCAATCTTAATGATACCCTTGGCGTTGATTTCCTCGGCGATCTTTCTCTTATCCTGCTCCTTGATGGCCTTCTTCTCTCTCTCTAATCTGTCTTGGTCCTTTCTTTCTTGCTCTTTAACCAATCTCTCAGCTTCAGCTCTTTGCTCAGCAGCCCATCTTTCTTGTTTCTCCTTGGCAGCCTGTTCTTCTTGTTCACGCTTAAGCTTCTCGGCTGCCTTCTTGCGCTTTTCCAAGATCTTAACGCGTTCGGCAAGTTCTCTTTGTTCATTCAAGAACCCTTCAAGAGCATTGTGGAAGGCAAAGTCGCGTCTTTGCTTCTGGCGAGCCTCGGCTTGTGTGTCGATCACCTTGTATGAGGTTGACAAAGTGGAGGCCAATTTAGACAATTGAGTCCTAACAATCTCTGCTGGGGAGGCCTGCAACCTGGAGGACAAGGAGTCAACGAAAGAATCTTCGAACGGGTTGGACTTGAAAGTCACGACCAGAGTCTCATGATCAATGGTCATGGACAAGTGGCCCTTCTTCACCGCGTTGACAATCAAATCCTCAACTTCCAAAGGCGACAAAGTGAATTCAGTGGCACCGATTTGTCCCAAGGAAACTAAAAAGTCCAACTTGACAGCTTCGTAGATCTGGGAGACTTGTTGGAAAGACCTGATCAACACAACTTCAGTTAAGGTTGGAATGTACTTGCTGTAAGCCTTGTCATCCTTGATCTCCTCGAAAACCTCAGCGACATTCTCCTTGGCAGTCAAAGGGTGGAACTCAAGGTCGCTCATGGTCTCAAACAACTTTTTGACCGCGGGGTGCACGAAGTCCAAAATAGATTTCGAGACAATAGAAGAGACTAAGCTCTCTCTGGTGGGAACTTGGTTCAAGTTCAACAAAGAGGTCAACTTGGAGTTCTTGGCCTTTTGGTCGTCTACCACAGTCTCGTTGACATTCAAGGATTTAGTGGGTACGGCCAAAGTCGCTAACACGAGCACAGAGGCGTAGTGTCTCAACTCTTCGTCAGTGGCGTTCGGTGACTGAGAGAACAAAGTGAAAAACTTATTCCAAGCAGCGGCATGGAACAAGGTGTTCTCCGACACAGCAAAAATCCGGGCCAAATTCTCGTAGTAGTTAGCCATCATGACAGGCTTTGGTGCTTTCTTCGAAGCGGTGATCAAAGTGTGCACATCATCCACGGACCGGAAAGACTCTTGCCACAACTCCAACTTGACGGAAATGTTCAACTGAGTAAAACGTTGCTCTAAGTACCGCTGCACGGTCTCGGCGTCGGACAAGTCAATGGCGTGGAGGTTTGGCACGGCGGGCTTTGTGACAACCTGCGTGGTGACAGATTGCATGTGGACTCTCAAGAGCTCACACAATCTTCTGAACTCGGCCTTTCTGTTGAATTTCAAGCAGAATTGGAAGGCCAGGTTAACGATAGCGGAGTAAGTGACTTCCAACTTGGAGTTGTTTCTCAAGATGTCCAACACGGCTCTCAAGGCCTCCCACAAGAACCTCAACCATGGCGTCACCAACTCCCTCTCGGTTCTGTCCGTGGAATCGGTGTTCGACACCGTGGAAAGCAAGATACTCTCAGGCGTCTGTGCAGCCTCGAAGTCCTCTTCCTCGTCTTGGTCGATTTTTGTGTCGGCCTTAGACTGGGCCTCATTCAACTTCTTCTCTGCCAACAGGATGAACTTGCGGACAATGACCTGGACCGACTCCAAGCCGTTTTCGGAGGCCTGTACGTTCTTTTTGTACTGGTGCAAAGCATCCTTGGCCACTTTTCCCTTTCTCAAGTCAACCGCCAACTCGATAAGCAACAAGCCAATAGGCTCCAAGTCTACGACTTGCAAGTGACGGGTTCTTCTCGACGTGATAAGGTCATACAAGGTCTCGAGAGCAGCCTCCTTTTCGTCAACACCAATAAGGTCTTCAGCACGCTTCAAGACGTTTTCTGGGCGGAACGCCTGGTTTCTGTGAGGTGGTGGTGGCATGTTTGTGGCTGATGTCTGAAGAATACGAACGTCCGCTGGGTGAAATCAATCTGACAAAATTTTCTTTCGGCTTGTGTGCACGCCTGGGACGAGCGCAGGGAAGCTTGTTCGGGCTTGGATATCGATCGCGTGGTGAATTTATTGCAATGACGATCAGGTCTATTTTCATGGGGAATTTGTTAATAGCGGAGAAGAAAAATGTACAAGGCGTTCTATTTTATTCTGATAGTGAAAGATTTTGAAACACCTTTGTATTTTTACAAGCATCTAAAACTTTTTTGTAGTAGGTTTATTGGGTAATTTCTGATTTTTTCACCAGTTTTTTCTGGCTTTCTGATGGTCCATGAAAAGTACTAAACTTCGAACGGAAAATAAAAACCAAAGTGAACTAGAATGCATAATTTTTTATGACAATCTTACATCAAAGAATCATATTCCCAAAGTCTACAGTAACTATTCCATTCAGCTGTTCGATTGTTTGCACTTTCACGATGTATATAGCTTCGACCGAGCCCGGTCGCGCGAGTCTAATCTAACTGGGTGTATCCACGCAACCTAGAAGGGTGGGAATTTCTCTTCCATCTCCGGGACAGATTTTTTCAAACCATCCTTGCTTAAAAGAATAACGCTTAATTTTGGATCTATCCCGTATTCTGTGAAAACTCTGCGCGAGTCTGTCTCTTGGTGTTTTTCGGTGTACTCATAGTGTCCGTGGTACTTCGCGTTCTGTTCCAACACTACGTCCTCGTAATGGAAGTAATCAAACTCTTCTGTGTGGCCGTCTGCGGAAGATGTTTTTTTCTTCTTCGATTTCTTTTCGTCATCCCCAGTCGCAATGTTGGCGTGTACCAATTTATAGATTTTGGAGACGACAAGAAAATAGTCGAACTCGTATTTTTCATGGGCATCCTCTGCCTTTTCCATTTCTTCAAACAACATCTTGTACATTGGCGGCACTACCTCCACTGGCATGTTGATCATTCTCTCACTGATCACTAAGCCAACTTTTAGCTGCTTATTCAGATCCTTTGTTGTCTGAGCAGGGCTCAACAATTTCTTCAACACCATGTTGAATTCAGTGTTGGCCTTGGTCTTTTCGATGATGTAGTCCGCCACAGCTTTAACACTGGGCTTTGCAGCATGAGCAGTGGCATCTATAACACTGAGTAAAGCAAAAGGGTCTCCCTCTTGTCCGTCTGTTTTGATTGTGGTTCCCACGGCATTCTTCGTCAAAATCAAGTCCGCCAAACCGGAGATATCAAATTTAAGAGCATCATCGCCGAAAAGTTGGCGAATAAACGTCTTTGTAGCATGGAAATCAACTTCAGGATTCAAGTCGAAGTAATCGAAATCCACGTTGATCACCTCCTCCATATCCTCTTCGGTGACACCAACTTCGGTGTCAGATTCATCTGTAGAACTGACATCGATATCGGAATCTTCAACAACTCTTCTTTTGCTCATATTTACTGTGCGTCTCGAGAAGTTTGCCTCTATTACTTGAAGACTTGCAACCGCATATTTTGATTTTCGCTTGCGGCGATCTCTGGAGGGCATCGCGGTGCACCTCAGATCTATGCAAGGCTGAGCGATGACGTCTGCCCCAATATTCCTAGAGTAAAAAATACAGATGAATCTTGAGGATTACACATCGGAGACTGAGAGTGTGAGTGAAACCGATGTCTATGCAAGCCCCAATCATTTTAGTACGGTCAGCTCTGACTTGTATCTGAGGCCTGCGTTTGTTGCCACAACCGTTGTGCGGAACACGTTTGGCGGGACATTTCAAAAAGCCGTACCAACACCAAGAATCGCCGAGAAACGACGTCAGGAAACAAAAAGGCCAAAGAAAAAGAGGAAAAAAACCGATCCTGGCCAACCTGATTTCTCAGGACCTTGGTATGGATCCAGCAGCTCAAGCGATAGTTCTGATGAACAAGACTACAAACAAGAGCGGGAAAGTGAACAGTTAGAGACGCCGCAAGCTGTAGAGGAAGAAGAAAGCGAAACCCCCATAACAACAGAACTGTACACGGCGAATGATTTCATGCTCTCGAATATCAATTCTTCAGAGGAGAGGAAAACAACATATCCTAGGAAATTAAAACTTACATTGGCTGGACATGCGAAGGGAGTCACTCGTCTTCGGTATTTTCCCAGACTGGGTCACCTCCTATTATCCTGTGGTAATGATGGGAAGATCTTTCTCTGGAGTTTGGGCGGCGAGACTTCTCGTAAAGTCAGAGGCTATTTTGGCCATAGCCATGCCGTGAAAGACGTGATATTCAATTCCAATGGGGATAAGTTTTTGAGTTGTTCTTACGACAATACAATTGTGCTTTGGGAAACAGCAACTGGAATAATACTCAAAAGATTGAGCCTCTCTTCTACCCCGAATTGTGCAATCTTTAATCCTCAGAATGAAAATGAGATTATTGCAGGGTTGGCGAACCGAAGAATCGAACATTACGACTTCACATCCTTACATTCGCCGGTCCAAATTTATGATCACCATTTAGGGTCCATTAATTCACTCACTCTTATAACGAAAGAGATCTTCATGTCCACGTCAGATGATCGAACGGTGAGACTTTGGAAGTGGCATATCAACATACCCATTAAAATTATTGCTGATCCTACTCAACATTCGGTTCCATACGCTGCAGTCCATCCTTCAGAGAGCTACATAGCTCTTCAGTCGATGGATGATTCGATTTATGTTATTCATGCAAACGGCAAATACCGTTACAACAAAAAAAAGTCATTCAGAGGGCACAAAGTAGCAGGCTACGGCATTGAAGTCGCATTTTCCAATCATGGGGCTTACTTGATGAGCGGAGACGCAAGGGGCCAAGTCAACGTGTGGTCATGGAAAAAGTGCGACGTTGTGCAAAAGATAAGGCTTGGTGATGGGGTCATATCCTGTTTGGCAGCACATCCTACAGAGTCAAATGTCATCGCGGTCGCAGGACGGAAGGGTGAAATATATATTTGCAATTGAGGTTTTTGGGGATGAGAGAAAGTCCTAGTGAAGCAGTTTTATCTGGATATTCATTCACACAATCGAGCACTTTTCCTTCTTGTACTCAGCATGTCTTTTCCTGACGTGACTTTTGGGTAAAGATGGCGGTCCATTTTTCTCGTGAGAAAATATGCGATGTAAATGAAGCTTGTGTTCCTTGATTTTGTTGTCTTTGATTTTGTTTTGTTTTGTTGTCTTTTCCTTGATTATGGTTTCTTTGATGTTGGTCTCCTCGAGTTTGTTTTCCTGGGGTGTGGGGTCTGGAAAACTGGTCTTTGGTTTCGGCAGAATATTTATATCCTTCTTTGGTTTGACTTCTTCATTGGGACCTGTGACATGTACATCCACTTTAATCTTAGAAGCGTCTGTGGGCAATTTAGGGTTTGAAATCAGTGAGGGCTCTCCATTGAGCGAAAGCCCACTGATATCAGACGTGTCACTCCATTGACTATTCCGCCTGTATTGCGGAGTCACACTGATACTCATGTTTCGACTCCCGGTCTTTGAAAGTGACGCACTCTCTTTGTAGTAGTTTTTGTCTTTATCTGTGACATACCATAGGTACCTTTTTCGAATGTCAACGAAATCAGGGTTTCCTGGAAAAGATTCAGGAATGGGTACGCTTGCACTTGGAAAATTTATAAATGAGTCCTTTGATCTCGAATTTGCATTCGAAAGTTTGTGTAAGTCCACATCCTTTTCGACGATAGTCAGCTCTGATATATTTAGCGTATGAGAACGGCCTTCCTCTGATAAGGAGAGAATGGGTGAAAGAGTTTCTTCGGCCCAAAACTTTGACCTATGACCCTTTGGAGCAAGTATAGGACTAGGGTCAAAATTACTGGTGGAATCCAGTTTGAATCGGTCTAGTGCTCCAGATGAATCACTGGGAACCAATCGATAGAAGAGCAAATATGGCCACTCCCTCTCAAAAATCTCTCTGAAAGTTTTTGTGACAACTCTGGTCGGACTCATGTCATCGTACAAGAACCAAGAAGCATCAAGGGAATTTTCAAGAGACTCATTCTCAACGTGAGCATTTTTACGAACAGCAGAAACAAAATGTCCGGACTGGATGACGGTGCCTCTATGGCACACTGCGCTCTCCAAAATCAATTTGAAACTCAAGCTGTTGTCTTTCAGGTCACTTGCATCGTCTGCCACAAACAGCGGCAAGTCAATCACTGGGGGAATGACAATCTTTCTGCGAGACCTATTTGTCGATTTGTCGGAGGACGAGAAAGAGTATCGCTTCAAGCATATTGGCAAAACCGGCCGGCGGTTTGCAAATTCATGTGTGTTTCTAGCGACGCTTTCGTTGGCATTGTTTAGCTCATTGTCGTCGGTATAAAATGGTAAGAGGCGCAAAAGCATCCACGCCGGAAGCATCACCTCACGCGGCTTGGACTCAAGACTAGAGACGGACCATATCGAAAGCGTGGAGGAGCGAGTGCGGACTTGAACCCGGCTTTTTGAAGGGGCAGCCACAGGGTTGCTGTGACCATTGACAAATGGGAGAGAAGTGCTGGAGCGGGACTTCTCAGCCGATTCGGACTCTGTATTTGACACTAGCTCCAGCATGGAACTCCCAGCGAGTTCCATGGGCTGTGCGGATAATTTTTGCTCCTCAATAGTGGCTCTTCGTTGCAATTCTCGTTTGACAGAAATCGAGTTGTTGAAGTAATGCTCGAGGCATTCCTCCAACAAGATGGGTTCATCTGACGCATCATCTTCTGGGATCGACACGAACAAAATGCGCTCTTTGGAATACTTTCTGTCATCATTATCCTGCTTCCCTGAGTGCTGGATCTCCACACGAAAAGTCAAGAGAGGCATGGCCAATATTTCGGTGAGAAACTCGAAAAGTGGCGCACAATCTTGTTGGCGATGACTGAGGGCATCGGTAAAGCCTAGTTTAGCCAAACACTCACAAATCTTTTGGGTGATGTCGGTGGTGATCAAATTTCCCAGCCGCATAAGATTCACATACAACCGGAGGAGACACAGGAGCTGGGTGACCAATGCATTGGGGTGCTGATTCAGCACGAACAAGATGGGCTCGAAGCTCTCAAGATTGGCAAACATCGAGAAGAGCAACGCATCGAAATAGCACATGACGTGATTCCAGTTCTCCGCGCCTTGAAGCTGGATCGGAGAGCCCACACGATCGAAGCCGTCATTTGTGATGAAAAATCCCACATCACTGAGCTGGAAGTACCGTATTAGATGATACGCCTTGACCACATCTCCCTGCAGAAACGGCGACTTAAGTGAAACAATAATCTGGCTGGTGGAAGGCTGCAGCTGTTCGGACGCGAAAAACGATTTGATCTGAAGAACAGCGGCAGAGTGGGCATGGTATTTTGTCAAGTTCGGCGGCGTGATGTCCTTATGACCATGGCTCGTGTCATTGCCAAGCAACTCAATATAACTATGCCAGAAACTTTCAGGAAAAGCGCAAAAAGCTTGCTCTCCCCCATCAGACTTAGAAGTCCACCGAGAAATTCGTTTGCGGAGCATGTAAGGGGTTTGAGATATTATTTTACCAGGAACCAGAATGAACTAATTACGCAGCACTTTTACGGATAGGGCCGACGCGAATTTGGAGTGTCCGCGGCCCACGGGCTCGTGTCAGAATCTACTGGGTGGGCCCTGAAAGTACCCAACAGGTTCGATATTCTTGCACCACAACAAGATAAAAAGAGAAAATGTGAAGAATCCAAGAATGCTCGATAAGCTTCTTGATTTGAAGATACTAGCTGAGTCAGTGAATATATGCTCAGATCCTGGATAACTGGGTCGCGAGCTCCCCCAACCTCGTATCTCCCCAACCCGCGTCCATAACCGTTCCCGAAGAGGGCGGGCTTATTTCGGCTATTGTAATCGCAGTTATAAAAAACGGAGGAAAAATACTAAATGCAACACATACTGTATAGGATAATTCCAGCGAGCTACTTCTTGAGTTCGGTTTATACACTACGATCTTATCTCTGTTGGTTATCTTTCGATGCCGAGTCAGCGAGAGATCAGGTTTCATGAAATCTGTATTTGACAAACACAGTCAAAAAATATGCGATTGCTTTCGATAGTATATCGGTTTCTTGAATAAGTGAAGGAAATGAAAATATTTTAGTGCACCCCTGGGCAGAAACAATCACATCCTGAACACAACGAGTGTAATTTTCTTGCCTACACTCTCGAAATAATTCTTGTGGCCCCAGAGTCCACGAGTTGGTAAGCAAGCCAATTTGAATGTTTTCTTGACTTTCCAAATCTGATGCTTCTATTTCTTTGAATATGAACAAACGGCCCAAAAGATGCTTGGTTCCGGTATAATTTTTGTTTTAAGCTTTCTATATTCCAGCATTTATAGCGTCAGTCATGGGAAAATTTGACTGCCATTTTTAACACAATACCGCCCCGAGATGGCTCAGGAATTATAACCAAGGAGTTTGGTAGAATTTTGAAGTTTGTTCGGAGCCAAATCAATGAGCTATAGCCCTGAAATAGCTCCGGGATAACACGAGACGCACAGACGCCTTGGTAGAACCATGTGAAAAGAATGTGAAAAGAATGTGAAATGAACATGAGATTAAAAAGATAACCAATAATTTAAAAGGTAGATGAGAACACCGCTTTCATCGATAAAAGCAAAAAGTACAGCCAGACCCGGTACACCCCTCCCTATATCGCTATGTTCAACTCTTTGATCTTGTCAAGGATGTTGTCCATTTTTGCCTCAAGAGCTCCATTGACATAATCCAGTCGAGTCTGCGCATCCATCACCAGCTCAACCTCGTTGATCCTTTCAAAGTTTTCATTGAAAAACCGTAGCTGGATTTTCACAAATGACTCGAACAGTGGGTTTAAATATGGAATTCTCATGTCTACGAGAGTAGGAAGCTCTGCCTTGAGCTGATCATTGAAATATGCATACTTTGAATGTGCTTGTTCGAGCTCTTTACTCAAGTCAGATAGCTTAAGCTCGTATGACGGGTCATCACTGGGGCTTGCGTCAAGCTTTTTTAGTTTGGTCCGTAGAGAGTCGTACGCATTCTTCTTCTTCGCCCGTTTTTTGATGGCCTCATTGACATTGATGTAATAGGAGTTGAACCTCTCCACTGGATTTAGCACCGTTTTCAAAAACGGCTCCTCAAGCTCCTCAAGGCAGGTTTGAGACAATTCCTTCATGGCAGTATAGTACATGTGGGCGATGGTGTTTTCATCCTCGCCATAGAATCCAGAAAGAACCAGGGTCATTGACTCCTGCGCATTTGTGAGAGTTCTCAATGAATCAATGTAGTGCCTGAGTTCTTTCTCAAGCCGTGTAGTGACGGTTTCCATGGCTCTGTATCGCTTTTCCTCATACTCAAATTCGAGATCTGTGGTGTCTTCAGCTGGTCCAGGCTTTAGCACCAGAGCACCAGCGCGACTGATTGCATTTTTCAACACTTGCCAAGACATGGAGACTGGAATTGAATAGGTAAATTGTGTGAGGATTTTGTTAGTTTCCTGCGTTCAGGAGGCTGTACCACGGATTCTGGTTTGTGTTTGTATTAAATACTTATTCAGGATGCTTGTGGCGGAGTGTGTGCATGGCGTTTTTGCCGGAACACCCGCGAAACACAAATGATACACTTCTGGAACAGGCACCCCGCCGCGAATGCTGGCCCAAATTAATAAGGCCTCAAGACACTAGCCATCCAGGCCCGTGTCTGCAGGGGAATGCATGATCTGAGTAACAAATTTTCCGGAGTATCTTGTGATGCACGCTACGGTGAGAACATCATTCCTGATGGAAGTGGTCATCAAATGATTGAGGATCACGTGATTCGGGATCGACCTGTGGTACGCTTCTTTGTTCGACGCGTAGTAGGAGCTGTCTGCACGACGCAATGGTGGCCGTTTTGCGAATGTAGGGTCTCCACCTATCTGGGGGATCGTGAGTGACAGTGGTGGTGGTAGGGGAGGCTGATGCTGCCCGGACATCTTGTTTAATAGCACGTTGTTCAAGTGGGCTGGGAGTTGGGGCGGCTCAGGAAGCTCGTAATCCGGCGACTTCTTTTTGAAGTAATTGTAGTCAACAAGCATTTCTGGTACTTCGGAGGAGTACGTGATTGTTTTCTTACTGTACTCAGGGTTATCGAGTAGCGACAGGTAGGAAGGTTCGTGAGACGGCGCCTGCAATGATTCTTCAGAGGCCATGTAGGCACAATCGTTGGGGGCCTGGGGCTGCAGGTATTCCACGTGCTCGTGTTGTGTTTCCTTCTCCTTTTTTGACATCTTTATGAGGAAGCTGTTGGACTTTTTCTGGATCTGCGTCGCGTTGTGTTCACCGGCTGTTTGCACAATGTTGACCTCGTCCGTCGAGCTGAGTTTGGTTTGGTTGCTTGTGTTGTTGAATAAGTGCTGTGGGTCCAAGACTTCAAACCAGTTGAAGAAAATGCCCTCCTGATCGGTCGCCGTAGGTAACCACTCCAGCACCCTATACTCGTTGTTCACAACATAAAGCAATTTGTGGACACCTAGTGGCAACTTGATCGTGGTATGGTACTCATTCGGGTTGGTTTGCGACTGCTTGAGCTTAATGACGTCTCTCCACTTGGAAAAGGATCCAATGATCGAGACCTTGGTGATGGTTTCCCGCGTCTGATTGACCCACTTGATTCTCACAGGCACCAAGCCACCCAGTGTCTCTTTCACCTTGCTAACAAACGAGTTGCTGGCGTGCCCATTACTACCCACATATACTGCAGAAGAGTTGGGGGGCTGACGTGCCGACGCGGGCAGCGAAATATGGGTGAAATCCACCTTGGAGATATCCTCGTTTTCCAAGGATGAGATGCTGCCAGCAGCATCATAACTATCGACTTGCATTGCGTTGTCATCGTCAGATCCTGTGACTGGCAAGATATTCCGCAGGAGCTCCTCGTTCTCTAAGATTTTGTGGCTCAACTCGTTGAACTCATCCTCTATCAAGTCATTAGTGAAACGGTTATTTTTCGGAGTTGCACTGTTGGTAGTAGGCGCATTTGCCAGTTGCGGGGTTTCGGGACTCTCAGAAGCCTTTTCCTGCTTCTGCCGTTTGACTTCGTGCAAAATCAAGTCACTGAATTCTTCCTCCAAATTTTGGTGGTTGCTTTGGGACTGGTACGATTTGCGGAACGGGCCCGCATGCCGGTTTACGGCGGCAGACTTTCTTGTAGAAGATGTGCTATTGCCCATATTAACCTGTCCGAGTTATTCGCTGCTAAAAAAGCAAAACGTTGGAGCCTTGTTTGCCTCACAATTAATTAAGGTGTGTTCTTCCTTTTTGGTTGGTGGGCACCACCGTCGTACGGCACAGAGACATGCAAGGGCTCTTGCTAAGCTGGTCGAAAGGAAGTGGGGAAATACAGTGATGGTATTCACAGAGAATATTCCACATTTTTTCCACTTTGAGTGCGTTGCGCCCGTGCTCGTGTAGTCGATGCGGTACGGGACGTGCTGGGTTTACAAGAAAAAGCAAAGTGCCCGAATAGTGGTATTCTCGTGGTTGTTCAATTGTCTATTTGACATGGGGGAGATGGGTTTCGCAGTGAGGCGCTACTATCTTTTCGCAGGCGAAGTGACCTAATTCCAGTACGTTAAACATGGCCCTGCTCCTTAAAAAAAGTTAAATCTTATTACGAAAGGAATCTTTACTCTCCGGCCCGCAAATGACTAGCACCACTCCGGAGTTCAATGCCACGACATCTGTCGTACCCGAAAAAAATTCCATAGTCCGCGGGAGTGCAGGTCTATACCGGAGTAGCAATGGGGGTGCATTCTAGTGTGGAGGAATGGTCGGGACGCGGATTCTTGCCCCACCTCCCCGCCTCAGCCAGCGCGCGAATTGGCCCACACACGACCTTCTACCTCAGCATCTCCGCGCACCTTGCACCACGAGTATAGAGGCGAAGATAACTGGGGAAGGCCAATGGACTCGCGACCCAGAGAGGAGCGGGACTTTTCCGAATTCTACGATAACCTCAATGACACGACTCAGCTCGATGCGCTTGTGGTGAGCTCGCTGGCTCATAGCTCTTTGCGACTGGCGCATAAAAGTAACGATCTGCATCTCCGCAGCTCCACCAGACTGTACTCATTAAACACAGTTTTGAGAGACTTCAAAGGCGTATCTAAGGAAAAGGCCCGGGTGTGGAACTCCGCAAAAATCAGCAAGGCCCTAGTGACATACGGTTATAGGCCCCCTACGAAACAAAGGTTCAGAAACAACTTCTGCTATGCGAGGTTTCAACAGACTCTCCCGTCGCATCTACTTCTGGTTTATGACATGGATGAGCAGGACACACTATACTTGGACTGGATGAACCAGCGGCAAGAAAAGCTCAAGATCAGCCCGGAAATTTTCGAGATTGCAATGAGTATTTTGGAGTCTGAGTGGCATAAGTTGGAGATGCGCATGGTTGCACTGGTAGGCCCGGGGCATGAGGGCCGGGACGACTTAAAAATGGACGCGAATTTCGAAAAGTACGGGAGTGATGATGGAACAGGTGGTGTGGGCTCTCTATCCGAGCAGAGATGCGCTGTTTGTAACGATCTGGAGTGCGACAACACGAATTCCATTGTTTACTGCGATGGATGTAACATTGCTGTTCATCAGGAATGTTATGGCGTTGCGTTTATTCCTGAGGGCCAGTGGTTCTGCCGAAGCTGTATGGTCAACCGAGGGTCCTCGGTTTCTTGTGCGTTTTGTCCTAGTAAAACCGGGGCCTTTAAACAGCTTGACAATGGCATGTGGAGCCACGTGGTGTGCGCCTTGTGGATACGCGAGGTCTACTTTGCCAATCCTGTATACCTAGAGCCCATTGAAGGCGTTGCCTCGATCCCGAGAAGCAGGTGGACTTTAGTGTGCTACATATGCAAACAAAAGACCGGTGCTTGCATTCAATGCGTCCATAGGAAATGCACCCAAGCTTATCATGTCACCTGTGCCAAAAGATCAGGTCTTCATATGGTGATGGACAACGGTATTCTGGGTGCGATAGCGTCCAACGACACACTCAAGTCCTATTGTGACAGACACTCGCCCAGCTTCATTGATCAAGAAATAGCGCTCACGGGAATTCTTCGAACACGCCTGTTTTACAAAGACGCGCACTACTTGAGCCGAAAGAACGACAAACTAGCCCTCGAGAGGAGGCAAGCGAATAGAATAAATCGTTTCAAGTGGAGAACAGAAAACGGAACTCCAATAGCCCCGCAAATCTTTGTGGAAGTGCTTGTTAATGCTATGAAATCATTGAAGGTGGGTGAAAATGGCCCTGACAGAATGCTCCGAGGGTTAGTTTCCAAGACAGACACGACGAAAGACCAAGAAGGAGAGATCAAGGCCGTGAGCGCTGCATTATGCCGATACTGGTGTTTGAAAAGGGAGGCAAAAAAGGGTGCTCCTTTGGTAAGGGTGCGGGCCTCAGATCAAGATATTTTGGAGCCTGACAGTCTTGAATCTCAAAGCGCAGCTGGAGATCCAGGCCTGGACTGTGCAGAGAGAGAAGAGCAAGAAACGCAAATGCCCGAGAAGATAGCATTCGGCTATAGTCTCGATAGAGACTTGCAAAAGTTGGTACAGTTGAACTCGTTAGTGGTGGAGAGACAAAAGTTGATTTCTGCTAGCGACGAGGAAACATTCAAAATGACCGACACTGCATTCTTCGCTTTCAGAACAGTTGGATTGCATGTGATCCAACAAATGACTCAAATTCTTCAGAAAAATCCTGAGCTTGAGAGGGATCTGGCAATTGCGAAGGATTGGGCATTTGAACAAATTGTAATTGACATCTCTAACGGCAAACTTTGGTCTGCGCTGGAAGTAGACCAGAGGATTTGCCTGACCCTCGGTGAGCGAAGTTATACATATACACCGGGAAGTTTAACCAAAGCTATGCGGTACTGGCACCACACAGGCTTGCAGGAATTGATTACTGTGGAGAAAAGTGTGTCTGAACCCATTCCTTTTGCGGAAATAGACGGTATTGAATATTCACTCAAACGATACTTCCCAAAAGCCGCTCTCGAAGCTGAGGACTTGAGTGAAGTTGAAGATGATCCTTTCATGCAACCTGCCAATCGAGAGATTTTGAAGAGGCTTGTGACAAAATGACCGTCCTACAGCAAATCGAGACAGAGTGTGAGGATAGCAATATACCTGAATGACAAACGTGTGAATTGTTTTTAGCACGAGAATTAATCCGATTGCGACCGGTTCACGTCGCGGCTATTATTAGAAGCATTATCGCGGTATCACAAGCCGTTGCAAGCCACAGCCAAGATGTGGTAACACATTAATGCACTCACTAAGCATCATTGGGTCTCGGGAATAACATCGGTTGCTAATTATGAGCCCCGTTGTTCTCTGACCGCCTTTCAAAGCCTCGCCTCTTTATCATCGTCAAGTTGTACCGAATTGGGGATGTGCGCGTAGAACTCATGCCAAATTTTCGTATGTAAACTGCATATACATATCTTCTCATAATATAATGCAGGTTAGCTGATGACGGCTTTAACAAATCCGGCGAAAGACGGGTGGAAAAGCTACAGTCCGCAGACTTGAGAATTCAGGAAATTTCTTTCAATTACTAGATCCGCAAACGTGAATTCGATTCCCGGGGATGAACTACATCATTTGCGGACATTCATTCCCGAATTTTTTTGATTATGAACGTGGAGCTTGAGTACACAGCCACACCTCCACCGGTTTGTTGAGCTTGCTGAAAGGTAAGATTATATGCACCCCCAAGCATACTTCTCATGGTTCTGATTGCTGGTATCTTGGAAAAAGTATCTCAATCCACCAACAGAGAATGATGAACCTTCAAGCATGTACCCCTTTTTAGCCCTCCGCCTCGTCGTTCTGAATTTTACTCGACCGAAAGAGTTACTCTCCATGCATGTTGCCATAGTCATGTATGATGCATATTACCCGATACAGGATATGCGCAGGTACCACACTGGCGTTTGTTCACGATTGCCCCATTGAACCTCTATCGGGCAATTCTTGCATCAATAAGGTCATTTCATCAGAAGATGCATGGTTCTCGTTCCTTCGCGTTTTTTAAGAGCAACGGACTCGTACTAACCGGGCCCGATACATTTAAGCTGTGCATCCCCATCTTCTGAAGTGTAAACCCTGCTGTAAC